GGTGTTTGATTTCCGTCTTCTCGTGGATCAATACCCTCTTGACTTGATGTTGTTACATGTACATAATTAGTCTTGCTTCTTATGCATGCCTGTGTGTGTGTGTGAGTGTATATTTGTTTTGTAAACAATTAAATGATTAACTTATTTAAATCTGATTACATTGATGCGAAATCTTCTTAAACTAATGCAATGAAATATTTTAAATTTTAAACTGACCAAGGAAGTTTTTTGTTTGAAATCGTATGGCGGAAGGAAACGTTTTAGAATGCAACGAAATTAAGTTGAGAAGATGAGCTGCTTGTTCTCAATAATGACAAAAATATTTAAGATGATCCCTTGATTTTCATGCCATAGGAAGTTTAAGCAATGTAGAAAAAAAATGGAAAATATCAATTTGCGGGATGTACTAAAGAACAAAATATAAAATGCGTAAAAATTTAGCACCACCGAGATGGGTGTGCCCCGGCCCCTGGTCCTCTATTGACTACGTTGGTGTATAACATAATAAAAATAATTATCTAAAATGTAACGTTTTAATACTGAAGTGTCTAAAACCTTAGGTATTTGAATTTTAAATAAATCGATAGGAAGAGATGTGGCTCTCAAGCGTTAAGTTAGTTCTGGTTTTATCTGGAAAAACTATTTCAGTTAAAATTACTGTTGTGTATGATTACCAGTTTTTTAATAATTGACAATAGAACTTGGATTTTATTTGAAGTAGCAATTCTTGCATTTATGTGCAGACTCCCCAAGTACGTTTAGATTTACTAAATCGAGTGAATTTCAACTGTCAACTGCATTGCAAATACGTCAAATACAATTCACTGGATTTGAGAGACGATTTTTGACGTGTATACAGTTGAAATCCACTCGATTTAATAAGTCTAAACGTTCTTTGAGATTATTTTTTAGAGTAGGCCGTTATATATATTGTTATATCCTCAGCCGTATGGCTACAGAGGGTATATATCATATGAAATAACGGTTTTAGACCCTCAAGGGTGAGTTAAAAAACTGCAACAAAGTCAAACGCCATAATTTTTACATTTTTTTATAATTTATTGAATGAAAGCAAAAAATGTGTCGGCAATAGCGTCAACTTTTAGAATAAGTTTAGATTTGCTCGAATTGGCCACCTTTGGCATGCATTATGGCCTTCAAACGGCCAATGAAACCGTCACACGCTACCCGAATGTTGCTCTGCGGTATTTTGGTCCATTCCCGGCGAAGCGCTTGTTTGAGGCGATCAAGACTTTGGTATTTTTTAGTGCCAACTTTGCTTTCCAAAATACTTCAGACACAATAGTCCAACGGATTGGTATCCGGAGATTTTGATGGTCATTGTGCGCTGGAAATGAAGCGAGGAACCTCATTTTGTAACCATTCTTGGGTGGCGCGTGCTGAGTGCAATGGTGCTGAGTCCTTTTGGAATGTCCAAGTCCAAATTTTTGCCAAGGGTTTAATACACCCTTCAGAATGTTTTCATGATAAGCGGAGAGCGACCATCGGCTGCTATGGCAGCCCACACAATCTCCATGGCCGGCGCTTGAGTTATGGTAGCCAATCGAAGGTGCACATTTTCAGCTGACCTCTATGGCAAGTAAACACGATGACCATTTTGTGTGTTTACAAACTGCTGGACAACGAATGTTTTCTCATCGGAGAAAACCAAATTTGGCAGTTCAGCACTTTCGGCTAAGCGACGCAACTCTTTAGTTCTTTTTAGTCTCCGAATGGAATATTGCCATTCGTCGCTGCTTTACTTTTCGAACCATGTCTGCTGATGTTGCTGTTTTCTTCCGTCCACTTCCTTGACCAGTATCACGGTAACGAGCGTTGGTACGAGACATAAAAGATTTATTCACATTTAAATGCTGAAGTGTTCTAACGATAGTCAATAGTGGTTTTCTAGCCAAATATAAAGAAATCACACTATCACGCTTGAATTCCATCACGAATAACTTATTTTCTAGAAAATCCTCACCAAAATGCTTTTTTTCGCTTGTAAACAATATAATAATAATATCAATGGAATAATGTTAACAACCGGCGGACGAGTAGCTTAGAAATGACAGCAGTTTGAAATTGGTTGCAGTTTTTTCATCTCACCCTGTACGTAAAATCTACTTGATTTGAGAATCGATTCCCGTTGAAATCCAATCGATTTAAAGTCCAAACGTTCTTTAAGATTTCATTTTCATTCATTTTTTTCTTTAAAAATTTATTTTTCATCGCTGTAAACATCTAAAATTATTTTCACAAGAAAATCCCTCATAGCACCGATTTACACCAAAATCTTTCCAATCCACATCAAAACCAAATAAAATACATAAATAATCACGCCATGCTCATTATCGGTTCGCTTTCAGATGCGAAATTTATTTTCTCCCCAAATTATGTTAGAATAAAAATCGCATAAATTCTGGACATGACAATGCCTAAACACGATTTCAGTGTTAAAAGCGGGAATTTATTGATGACAAAGTAAATTGATTATCATGAGTTGGCACACATTTTTTTTTGCGTCACAACTTCAAAGCAGAATTGGGTTATTTACTTTAGACAACGCACGTTATGTTGATAAGGGAAGAAAACAAACTCTGGAAAGGTTTTCGGGATCTTAAATAAATCTTTAACAACGTGCAGTTTTATTACAACTTCTTATCTCATGAGTATTGGCACCGCCTTCTATTCCTATCGACTGGGTTTGATACAATGCTGAAAAGCAAGATCATTAACTCCGGCCAGGGCAAGAGCACTGTTAAGAAACCTTGCAATAGGGGTTGCATCACTTGTTGCAACATTACATGAAATACGTATACGTAATATTCAGTAAAGCAATGAAATACTCAAGTACTAGCTTCCCGAGATGTTGTCTTCGATTTATTTAAAATATATCGACATTCATATCTTCCTGAGAAGAATAAACTTCCAAAAATGTCAAAATTATTGATGTGTGACAGAACTGACACTTGAAACCATTTCCATATTCTCTCACAGCGAAATCGAAAAAAAAAAACAAAAACAAGTTAAAATGTATCACTCGGTTTTGCCGACAGATGTATACTCTCAGCCAATGTTCTATTATTTAAAAATATTTTGACGCCACTTATGATTATTATATAGGCACCGAAGGAATGGGTCAATATTGGCCATTAAGTGTCTGACCTAAATTAATACGATATAAATATTGGGACGTGCCAGGTTTGGACAATATCAACTACTCCCATCACTTTGTATCAGATATGTGATCATTTTTAGAAAATGTTATAATGTGCGATACATAATCGACCGAAGTATTCCATTTGCACACCTCATCTAACACAAATAAAAATATTCTTATGGACAAAAATACAAGAAAATCGAACATTTATATATACTCATATCATAAATTCAAAATTCATCTGAGGTTTCTGGTTAAGAGAAATATTTAGATATAGCGAGTTGTTATTTTCGCGTTTTATGAGCTTCATTGTTATTCAAAATTTTGACCCTTTGTGGGGGAGGTACCAGAAGGAGTGAACCGATACATTCCATCTTCATCGCAAATCTTGTGTAAGTAGAAATAATGTGATGTGTGAAATATGAAGAGCACCGGATGCTTATTTCGGATTTTATAATCGCTTTGGTTATTTTAAATTTAGAACCTTTGTGGGGGAAGTACCAGAAAAAACAAGTAAAAAAGCAGTAAGTTCGGCCGGACCGAACTTTGAATACCCTCCACCATTTAGAACGAATTTGAAATTTTTCGAAAAAGATAACATTCGCCAACAATTCTGTTAATATTTTAAAAATACCGAATATAGCCGTTATATTTGTGCCTGTACGACGTGCACCTACATTGTCATTACCATATTCAAATTCGAAACATGAAATAAACGGTGAATAATGTAGCCAAAATCATCAAAATACCGTAACCGTAATCATGAAACTACTACTGTGAATAATGACGCTAAAATCATCCAAATACCGAATATTGGGAGGTGCCGTTATATGGGAGCTATACGAAGACGTGGACCTGTACAGACAATTTTCTGTCTCAGGCTGTAGTATCCATTTCGAACTTCAAATGCCAAATTTGAAACAATTCCGGTGAATAATGTCGCTAAAATCATTAAAATACCGAATATCGGGAGGTACCGTTATATGGGGGCTATATGAAAACGTGAACCTACATGGTCCATTTACGAACATAACCTGCCTACTGGCAAAATAAACGTGTGTGCAAGCCTTCTATCTCAATTCGTTCGAAGTATAGCGTGATTACAACGGACATAGCTAAATCGTCTTAGAATTTTACGCTGATCAAGAATATATATACTTTGTTGGGTCTAAGATCATTATTTCGACGAGTTACAGACGGAATGACAAAATGAATATACCTTCCATAGTATGGTGGATGTACCAACTTTGGATAAAATCGGATACTCCCTTCGGACGGACATCGCTAGATCGACTCCAAATGTCCTGAAACGGATTTGGTTCAAAGAGACCAAGGGTCTAAAACCGTTATTTCGATGAGGCACGTTTTGGCCGTATCTGTAGCCATGTGGCTGAGGGTATAAAAACACTCAAGCACCTCTTCTACTAATTCACTTGAATATGTTGGTCTTATTTAGCAAATCCAAATGTCTTGAATCATAATGGAACCACTTTCGGATCCCCCTCTATTTTTGGACGCAAAACTCCGCAATAGCCTACGCAAGTACTATTATTTCCTACTATATTAGTATATGTCATTCTGCACTCGTTATTTGTGTATGTACTTTCAGGATGGATTGATGAATCTAACCCAAACTCATGAGTTTTGCAATCACCACATTTTTTGCTTTGTAATAAATTCGCTTGATTTAAGATTTAAACTATATTATTACCTATTTGTTTATGCTATTCCAATAACCTTTTATAGAAACACCTTGTTTCCAAATTTTCGAATAGTGCTGTCAATATGATTAACCTTTAATGTTGGTATTGTTATTTAATGTCATTATTATTTTTTTAAATTAAATTAGAAGGAAAACTTTCTTGGCACATCTTTTTTTCCCCTACTAATTTCTATAAAATTCCTTATTTCAATATTTCCCTTCTATTTCAAATAGCGCTATGGTCCAGAATAAAAATCAGTGAATAATAGACATATGTAAAACCAAACAGATTTTATTTTTCTCTATTTTTCCAGAAAATTTAGTAACGTTCATGAATCGCCACGACTGCAAAGAAAATCTCAATTCACAGTAAATGTTTCGCAACAGCGTAGCCCTCGTACCGTGGTGCCCAATGACGGTTTAAATGGGCTAAAAAGCCAGACGTGAGTATCAACTTTTTGTAAAAAAGATTTAAAGCAGAAGATTTTTTCTTTTTCAGAATAATGCCAGTGGAAGGGCCCAGGGCATTGACAGTGAGTACAACGGGAGAAAAGCATTATGAGCCTTTAAGTAAATACAAGAGTGAAAGGGAAACAAACACAGGTGAAAGACAGGAGAGAATGAATTCCAAGGACAAACCAATCGGCGGCTTTATGAAGCAGAAAAAGGCTAAGGTATTTGTGTATTTCACAGAATAAATTTAAAGAATCCACTTACAAATGTTAAACTACGGGTTGGCCTAGTTCCCTAATCCCTTTTTTTTTAAATTCATGTCTTTATATTGTTTTTATTTTATTATCATTAACAATGTTCAATATTCCCCAGCTCTTGTGCAGATATTTCTATCGAATGACCCAACCTAAATGTACTCCTTATAGAATATTGGGAACTTCCAAAGAATCTGGCAATAGGACTTATGCTGATAAACAAACAAATACCGGGTCAACTTTGTCAAAATACATTTATGCCCCATACATGACGGAGAATCCAAGAAAGCATTTTGAACCAACTTTAATTCCTCAGAGAATACCTAATAACCTCTTAGTTACAAGAAAACAAAAACCTTATGCAAAATATTATGCCGGTAAGAATAAGATATACATAAACATCCTTTATCATTTTATTGTCTCCCATTTATCCTTTCCCCAATAGATTTCCGAAAGATAACTTCGCTACTAATACTCGTGACTTTATTATTTTGGCTACTTTCCTCTTTGCGAGAAAGTGATTTCTATTCATTATTATTTCATAATGTTTCAAATACTTTTTCACGTTGGTACTCTGCAACCGAAGAAATACCCAAAACTGAATTTGAAATTCTGCTTGAGTTTCTCACAAATATATGGGCAAAATTAGTAACACTTTAAGATGGTCAACAAATTATTACAAAAATATATTATTGAAAAAATTGTTTTTATGTCCTCTTATTTCATTAAGGTTCATTTGCATAGAAACTATCCCACATTTGGGGTAGGATGAATAACAAACAAACGAAATCAATGCAAATAATACTCATTTTGTTGTTCTGAATGAAAGAGCTTAATACGCAATATCTTGTGCCTTGTAATAAAAAGAACTTAATCGACTTTTAACAGCTCATTTATGGGAGGTGTGTGCGCGCCTTGTTTTTGTTATTACCAAAATAATCTGTTATATAAAAATATCATTTTGGATGTTTTTTCCAATAACTTTGGCTTGCATAACACAATAACAAGCAAAAAGGATATAACAATTAAAAACACACTCGAATAAAATGTTCTGTGCCTTCATAAATGACGATTTGTGTAGGTTGGAGGTTGAAAGACCTTAAAAATCTAATATGGGCTACCTAGTCTTAGAGACCACATTATGGTTGTCTTTAAAGAAAGGTGATTTATAGATGATTGTACAGACGTCCTCAAAGTCGTCCTTACAGTCCCCTTTATAGATGACCATGCAGTCGTCTTTAAAGACGACCATGCAGCCGTCTTTTTACAGTCGTCTTTATAGACAAACTTACAGTCGTTTTTATAGACGGCCATAAAGTCGTCTTTATAGACGACCTTAAAGTCGTCTTTACAGACGATCTTCAAGTCCTCATTATGGATGACCTCAAAGTCCTCATTATGGACGACTTTAAAGCCGGCTTTGTGGATGACATTTAGATACTCTTTATAAATACTCTTTAAGCCATCTCTATAAATGACCTTTATAGACGACCTGAAAGTCGTCTTTAAAGATTATCCTAAAGTCCACATTACAAACGACATTAAAGTGGTCTATACAGCGTGAGATAAAAAAACTGCAACAAAGTCAAACGCCATAATTTTTACATATTTTTTTTTAAATTTTATTGAATGAAAACAAAAAATGTCGGATATAGCATCAAATTTTAGAATAAGTTTAATAAGTTTGTTCGAATTGGTCACCTTGGGCACGAATTATGGCCTTCAAACGGCCAAAGAAACCGTCACACTCTGTCCAAATGTTGCTCTGCGGTGCTTTGGCCCATTCCCGGCGAAGCGCTTGCTTGAGGTGATCGACACTTTGGTATTTTTTAGTGCCAACCTTGCTCCAGACACAATAGTCCAACGGATTGGTATCCGGAGATTTTGTGGCGATTGTGCGGAGGAAGTTAAGCAAGGAACCTCATTTTGTGACCATTCTTGGGTGGCGCGTGCTGAGTGCGACGGTGCTGAGTCCTGTTGGAATGTCCAAGGTCTGCGGCCAAAATGTTTGCGTGTCCAAAGTTTTAATACACACTCCAGAATATTTTCGCAATAATATTTGGCATTTATTCTGATTCCACGTTCGAATAATACGAGCGGAGAGCGACAATCGACTGTTATGGCGGCCCACACCATCACCATGGCCGGCGCTTGAGTTCTGGTGGCCAACCGAAGGTCCACATTTTCAGCTGACCTCTATGGAAAGTAAGCACGATAATCTTATTTGTTTACAAACTGCTGGACAACGAATGTTTTCTCGTCGGAGAAACCCAAATTCGGCAGTTCACCACTTTCGGGCAAGCGAAGCAACTCTTTAGTTCTTTTGAGTCTATTTTCTTTTCGTTGCGGTGTAAGTTCTTGCACTTTTTGGAATTTCAATGGCTTTACCCCGAGCTCATTTTTCAATATTTGCCGAATGGAATATTGCGATATGTTTAGCTCACGAGCCATTTTTCGGCCACTGCGACGCAGGTTTCTATCAAGTAGCTTCTTTACTTTTCGAACCATTTCTGCTGATGTTACTGTTTTCTTCGATGACGTCGGGCTACGCTACCAGTATCACGGTAACGAGCGACGGTACGAGACACAAAAGCTTTATTCACATTTGTTGTAGATCAGGCCTATTATTTGATGTTATCGATAATTGTTATTTTGATTCTATCGATTATTATTTGCATTGTCACTTTGTATTGAATTACCGCAGTTTGCTGATTCCTCTTTCTTTGCATATTTGTGCTTATCGTTGCTGAGCGCAATTAGCTCATTTTAAATTTGATATTCGTTGAAGAAGGAGGCGCAAAACTGCGGTAAGTGTCCGTCATTTATATTTGTATTTTTTGGTAAATTAACAGTTATGTTTTCGTAGAAATAAACGCAGCAACAATATAAACGTGTTTTATTGTCCGTTTAACGCAAGCCTCCTGCCCTTCTAGCCGCAGTCAGCAACATTTTTTTATTTCGCATTTTGCTGTTATTGTATGTTGCAGTTTTTTGTATTTTCATACAAAGAACTGAGTTTGTTGCCGTGGTAATTGTTGGTGGACACAAAATAAGCAACCTTTTGGAAAATGTTACAGCATACTCCACCACGCCGGAGTCCTCGTCTGCAAGGAAATATAAATGCAGATGCTGTAACAGATGATCATCCTGATCAGACTCAGCCAGAGTCAATGCTAATTAGTGTCACAAACAAAACAACCACACAAACTGCCGGAGGTAATATTAAAAGTGGGGAACAGCCTATAACCTCACGTGTTGTGCAGCCAGCACCTATTTCCTCCATGGAATTAAATGGAAATCCAGCCACTTCAGTAAGTGGCCACCAACAGCAAACTATCGGACAGAAGATGTCAGTGCCGATGTCGACTACAAGTCCTGCCAGTCCATCAGAGATGCAAAGACAAGTCAACCTATTGAAAAGCCAGCTATCGGAAACACAAAAGAAGCTGACCAACAGCAACCGCCAATGCCATGAACTCCAAAATGCACTCCGAAACGTATCATACCAATTGCCCAACCACACACACATATACAACCGCCGCCATGTTTCAGCCTGTAGCAAGCACCAGAGCCGTTATGCCGTCGACGTACGCTGCCTCAGCAATTGGAAACTTAACTGCAGCGACAGTGGCGAGCGCATCCTCTGCCGCGATGCCACTACTACAATCAGCACCAACTGCAGCCAGCAGTAATGCCAGCGCTGCTACGACCTGTTCAATGCCATTATGGGAGCCATTGCAAAATTTTCAACACTTTGATACTTTTCCAAATCCAAGCATACCTGCGATCACAATGCCAAGAAAAATTCAAGATTTGCCAGAATTCAGTGGTGATCCAGACGACTGGCCATTATTTTATACAGCTTTCAACCAGTCAACTGCAGCATATGGTTACACGAATTTGGAAAATAATCAACGTTTGCACAAGTCGCTCAAAGGTGAAGCCAGAGAAGTCGTCAAATCACTGCTTATTCATCCTGACAACGTCGACGACATAATTAAACAACTCTGTTTTAGATTTGGTAGACCGGAGCAGCTCATACATAGTCAGTTACGCCAAGCCAGGGAATTGCCTCAGATTTCGGAAAATAACTTAGGGAAGTTAGTGCCATTTTCAACAAAAGTTAAAAATTTAGCTGTTTTCCTGCAATCCGTGAATGGACAAAATCACATTGCTAACCCTACACTTCTGGAGGAGTTGGTGTCGAAGCTTCCAATGAGTAAGAAATTAGAATGGGCCAGGGTAGCCACTCAAATTCAACCATATCCTACAATAATACATTTCAGCGATTGGCTTTGCGAGATTGCTAATTTAATATGCATAGTGCAGGATGTGGAATATAAAGACCAAAAGCGCCGTGTTTTATTGCATTCCACCGGACAACAAATACAATGCCCTATGTGCCAGGGCCAACATAGGATTTATGATTGCCGCCGGTTTTTAAACCTGAATGTTCCAGATAGATGGAAACAAGTTAAAAAAATCGTGCCTGTTTTTCCTGTTTGCACACTGGACATATAACCCGAGACTGTCGACGTAGACGAGTATGCCCTGAGGAAGGATGCGAGCGAAGGCATCATAAATTACTTCATGAGTGCACCACCCCCTGTGTTCCACCACCAACTTTGGCGAATCCTGATCCTAAATCTCAACAAAATGTTCTCAGTTGCAATTCCGAAGATAAGAAGAAACTTCTTTTTAGGGTTCTGCCTGTAACATTGTACGGGAACAATTGTTCAATGGAAGTCTACGCCCTCTTTGATGATGGATCATCCATCACCATGATGGACAGCGATATTGCCGAAAAAATAGGGATAAGAGGAAAGAATACTTCGCTCAATGTTCAATGGTTCGGAGGCCGATCAGCCAGAGAGCCCGTGACATCCTTCAACATAAAAGTGAGTGGATCTGGTAAAAAGGGTTGCCATCTACTAAAAAATGTGTATGCAGTATCTAATCTCAACCTTCCGATGCAGTCCTTGAGTCAAGATGAAATTTTATCAGCCTTTAAGAACTGTAAATTTCCTCCCGTGAAACCCTACTCCAATGTAGTGCCAAAGCTTTTGATTGGATTGGACCACGCGTCTCTAGGGTTGCCATCGAATTGTAAAATAAATAATGAATTTGGACCATTTGCATGTAATACGGAATTGGGATGGGTTGTTTTCGGGCCATGTCACTCTTTATCCTCAATTCAGAAGTCATCTTTGTTTATTTCGGTGGAAAACAAAGACGAATTACATCAAATAGTAGCTGATTATTTTAATGTGGAAGGTATGGGAGTTAGATCTGCTCCTTTAGTTGAAAGCGATGATGATGTTAGAGCCAAGAGAATTCTTGAAGAAACCACTCAACGAATTGGAGATCGATTTCAAACTGGGCTGTTGTGGAAACAAGATGAGATTCGTCTCCCAGATAGTTACCCGATGGCACTTAGTCGTCTGGAAGGAATTGAAAGGAAGATGAAACGAGATCCCAAGTTCTCTGCGGCCTACAGGGAAATTATAGATAAATACATAGAGAAAGGATATGTTCGGAAACTACAATCAGACGAGGTACGAATTTCTAGTGAAAGAAAATGGTATTTGCCGCACTTCGGGGTAGTCAACCCGAACAAACCTGAAAAGTTAAGACTCGTTTTTGATGCAGCCGCCAAGGTAAACAATATTTCGCTGAATTCTATGCTGTTAAAAGGACCTCAAAATATAGCTTCCTTGTTGACTATACTGTATAATTTCCGCCGAGGCAAAATAGCAGATGGTGATATGTGAAATGTTTCACCAAGTTAAAATTCAGCCGAGTGATAGAGTTTCCCAGCGATTCCTATGGAGGGATGGAAATCAGAAAGAGCCACCGGGTGTATACGAGATGCAGGTCATGATCTTCGGTGCAGCCTGCTCACCATGCTCAGCCATTTTTGTCATGAAAGCAAATGCTAAAGAACATTTGCACTATAATCCAAGAGCGATTGAAGCCATTAGCGAGAACCATTATGTTGATGATTTTGTAGATAGCTTTGAAAGTGTAGATGAAGCTATCATTATTTCTAAACAAGTGAAAGAAATTCACAAAAATGGCGGATTTGAATTGAGGAACTTCATATCAAACTCGAAGGATGTCTCCCAGACACTTGATGGTAGTTTGAAAGCAATGCCGATTAATAACGGAGCAGAGAAGGTCTTAGGATTATATTGGGAGCCTTCTAGTGATACGTTTATGTTCAACTTAAAATTCAATCGAGTCGATTCATCCATAATTTCTGGAGAACTGAAACCAACAAAAAGGAAACTTTTAAGCATTATAATGTCTACATTTGACCCCCTTGGACTTTTGGGCCACTTTACAGTGGGTGGAAAATTATTAATGCGACAGATTTGGAAACACGATTGTCGATGGGATGATATTATTCCTGACGATTTACATGCCATATGGGAAAGGTGGAGAGGTCAGATGAAAAATGTTGCCAAATTTAGCGTCCCTAGACATTATTTTCAAACAGGTTTGCCAACATCACTACAGCTTCATATCTTTGTTGATGCCAGTGAGGATGCCTTTGCTGCAGTGGCATATTGGAGGTACATTTCGAATGAGTACACTGATACCAGCTTCATCACTTCTAAAATTAAATGTGCACCTCTGAAAAAAGTTACGATTCCGCGTCTGGAGCTACAAGCTGCCGTTTTGGGAACTAGATTAATGCAGACTATTATGTCATCTCATATTTTGACCCCAGAAAAGATTGTTTTGTGGAGTGACTCCACAACAGTGTTACGATGGATAGCCAGCAGCCACAGACAATATAAACAGTACGTCGCCCATCGAATTTCTGAAATATTGTCATCAACAAAAATAGAGAATTGGAGATGGGTTCCAACAAGTGAAAATGTAGCCGATGAAGGCACCAGGTCATTCAACAATATTGACTTTTCCATGTCGTCCCGATGGTTAAGAGGTCCTGCTTTCTTGAGAATGACTGAACATGACTGGCCTACTAGAGTAATTGACACCACCTGTGCTAATGATATTGAGGAAAATCATCCGAAAACATCATTATTGATTGTTGAGAATGATTTTATTGATTTTAACCGGTTTTCGTCATTTACAAGAATAATAAGGTCGACTTGTTGGATTATTCGTTTTGTGAAAAGATGCCGAAATATTTTTGACGATTCGGAACAGTATGGTCTCACGTCCCGTGAATTAAATTGCGCCGAAGAAATATTATGCCGCCTAGTACAAAGAGAAAGGTTTTCTGCCGAGTTAAGTTGCATTGAAAAAGGGCAGCCAGTTTCAAAGAACAGTAGTTTGATTAGTTTATCTCCCTATATTGATGGTAATGGTCTTTTAAGAGTATATGGAAGAATAGATGCTGCCAGCTACCTATCATACAACGTGAAAAGGCCAATAATATTGCCTAAAAATCATCAGTTTACGAAACTTTTAGTCATGCATCATCATCGCCAGATGATGCACCAAAATCACGAGGCTACGGTGTGTGAAATTCGAAAAAAGTATTGGATACCACAAGTACGTTCTTTGTTGAAGACAGTAGTTGCCGAGTGTTTTTTATGCCGATCTAGAAAATGTTTACCACGATTGCCCATCATGGGGCAGCTGCCATTAGACCGCCTTGATCCTAATATTCCGCCGTTCAAATATACAGGACTTGATTATTTTGGACCAATTACTGTAACAATTGGAAGGAGATCCGAGAAAAGGTGGGTAGCATTGTTTACATGCTTAACAATACGTGCTATACATCTGGAATTAGCGCATGACTTGTCAACGGATTCGTGTATCATTGCCATAAGGAATTTCATTAATCGTAGAGGTGTTCCAACCAGGATTCGTTCCGATAACGGGACAAATTTTATTGGGGCCAACGAGGAGTCTAAAAGATTCACCGAAGACTTTGATGCTAATAGAATCCAGAGTGAGTTATCCAAGAGAGGAATTGAATGGATTTTTAATTGTCCGGCTAATCCTTCGGAAGGTGGCGCTTGGGAAAGAATGGTACAGTGTGTGAAAAAAGTTTTGCGGCATACACTGAAAGAAATCTCACCTCGAGAACATGTACTACAGTCTCTTTTAATCGAAGCAGAGAATATAGTGAATTCCCGCCCACTAACTCACTTGCCAATAAGTCCTGATGAGGAGGAACCACTTACTCCTAACCATTTTTTAATTGGCTCGGGAAATGTTGCACCTACCCCGCCAGTGAATGAACCCGACGGGAAGCTTTTTTCCCTGAAAAAACAATGGAGAGTTCTGAGGTGTCTTCGAGATAGATTTTGGAAGCGGTGGATTGCAGAATACTTACCCACTCTCACCAGGAGAGTTAAGTGGTGTGAATATACTCAACCAATCAGTGCTGGAAATGTGGTTTTCATCTGCGACCCAAATGTTCCAAGGAGTCAATGGCGGAGAGGTTTGGTCACTTGTGTCTACACGGGTACGGATGGTGTGCCAAGAAGAGCTGATGTGAAGACTTCGTCCGGAGTACTGCAACGTCCGGTATCCAAGTTAGCTGTTTTGGACATAGAAATTAGTGAAGCTGATCGCTCCACGGGGGTGGGGGTGTTGTAGATCAGGCCTATTATTTGATGTTATCGATAATTGTTATTTTGATTCTATCGATTATTATTTGCATTGTCACTTTGTATTGAATTACCGCAGTTTGCTGATTCCTCTTTCTTTGCATATTTGTGCTTATCGTTGCTGAGCGCAATTAGCTCATTTTAAATTTGATATTCGTTGAAGAAGGAGGCGCAAAACTGCGGTAAGTGTCCGTCATTTATATTTGTATTTTTTGGTAAATTAACAGTTATGTTTTCGTAGAAATAAACGCAGCAACAATATAAACGTGTTTTATTGTCCGTTTAACGCAAGCCTCCTGCCCTTCTAGCCGCAGTCAGCAACAACATTTAAATGCTGGAGTGCTCTAACGAACTCCACTTGTGGTTTTCCAGCCAAATATAAAGAAATCACACTATCACAATTGAATTTCATCACGAATAACTTTTTTCTGAAAAATTCTCACCAAAATGCTTTTGTACGCTTGTAAACAATATAATGAGCTGTCACTGGAATAATTTTAACAGCTGTAGGACTAGTGGCTTAGAAATGACAGCAGTCTGAAGTTGGTTGCAGTTTTTTCATCTCCCCCTTTTCATCTGACCCATTTGTGGGAGAGGTACCTGAAAGAGTGGTACGATATATAACATCTTCATAGCAGGACTTGTATTGATAGAAATATTTAAATATGTGAAGTTAAGAATAAATCGGATGCTTATTTCGCACATTATGAGCGTTTTGGGTTATTCAAAATTTTGACCCCTTCGTTGAATACGCTTGTAACCAATATAATGAGCTGTCACTGGAATAATTTTAACAGATGTCGGACAAGTGGCTTAGAAATGACGGCAGTTTGAAGTTGGTTGCAGTTTTTTCATCTCCCCCTGTATATATTACCTTAAAGATGATTACAAGCATCCCTATGAAAGACTTCAAATCAACACATTTTCTTCTCCCATGACATGTACAAAAACTCAACATTTCATTTTCATAAGAAAATATGCATTTATTTATTTATCTTTCTATTATGTTGTACAGAAAACATTTCTGGGGAAAATAATATTAAAACAATTATTCATTAATTAAAAGCTGAGCTCTTGTTGTGATTCATAATCAATGCTCTTTGTATTTTGAGCGTCTACTGGTATTGATTAATATTTGTTTGATCAACTATCTGGGCTTTGGATACTGTCTATTCTTTTTTATTTGGAGATTTGTTTTAAAAATAATTGCGCCTGGCTCATTTCTAGAATATTTAATTGATATCTAAATTCATCAGGGGTTTTTCTTTCTAAAATATGCCTTAAAAGTGGTGCTTTGCTTGTTAAAAAATACATGCATAAATTTCACATTGGTTTTTTGTTTTTGGTTTACAATAAAAGCATTTCTTGTTTGCTTGGCGTAAAAATATTCTTACAAAATATATAAATATATAAGTGCAGATAATAATTAATATTATATAGTATAACAATTTATTCAATATAGACTAGTTTTCTTCATGATACGCAAAAATTCATCCTGATTCACTTCACCATCATTATCTAGATCCGCTTCATCGATCATTTCGCGCAATTCCTCATCGGTTAGGGTTTCGCCCAGCTCGCGAGCCACACGCTTGAGGTTTTTAAATGATATCTTGCCCGTATCGTCATCGTCGAACAAACGGAAGGCCTTAAGTATCTCTTCTTTGGTATCCTTTTCCGCCATTTTCATGGTCATCAAATGCAGAAAATCATTAAAACTTATTTTTCCATCTTTACCATCGATTTCGGCTATCATGCGTTTAATCTCCTCTTTTTTCGGTTCAAAACCCAAAGCTCGTATGGCCACTTTTAGTTCTTTGACTTCAATGAATCCGGTACAGTCAACATCGAATAGATCAAAGGCTTCTTTGATGTCCTGTTTCTGGGCATCGGATAGCTCAAACTTGGGCCCCGATTTTTTGCGGCCAGTACCAGTAACACCCACGGCAGTGGACTTTTTCGTTGTTGCTACTGCTTGTTCCTTCGAGGATGTACGTTCCATGTCTCTTATTAATGGAATCTATTAGAAAAATATTCAAACTTCAATTAATTTCAACTTCACACTCTCCAATCGTGCTCACCTTTTATTTGTTTATGGTAAATAATGGTAATACCCCGGTCTCTCTGTTATATTTTCGTTGTTAGGGATAGATAAAATGGTATCCTTTTTGTGTATTTATATAACTGCTGTTAGCTTAATATGCTTCCTTTTTCTTTCTTTTTATAGAGTATCGATTTGTTGTTGCTAGTTTGTTTGTTTTCCTATTTTCGAACTCACTGACAGTATACTCTATGCTCTATCCACCCCCAAAATTAATTTGTACTTCAAGTTTCAAATAATGTACATTAATTCAGAACAGGTGGTATATTTTTGTTTTCCCAAAAAAAAAAACAGTATCCTTCCTTGGAGTATAGCACGATGATGTGATGCCAGATTGCTTGAAAGCACATTGAAATAAGGAGACCAAACAAAATAAACGATAAAGATGTGGAATTAAAACAAAACACACACTATACCAAACAGGGTACTGAAAATCGAGAAACAGACACAGCTGATGAGTGTTATAGGGATTTACTAATTAAATTTAGTAAAGCAGTCAGGTGAGATAGGATTCTTAACTTATGATAATCTGTACACCGGTAACTGAATTACGGGTTTTATAAACGTTCGTCATATATTTGACGTGTAGTCAAAGAAATTGAAAATCTATTTTCACAGTTCGTCTGTTAATCAGCTGCATAAATTATTGGATGACGGCACCATGATATGAAAAAATAATTAGTTATTATCAGGGTACAATAAAAAGTTAAAGTAGAGCTACCAGCTGATTACAATTTTTTTCTAAGTGTGCCCGACTTCTGCCAATTTTGCATGGTAGAAGAATATAGGTAGACGCATCGAAACAGCTGCTGGGACAATGAACTGTCAAACCAATTTTGGAATTGAAAATGTTGAATGAAATTTTTTTAAACTTGTAAAAACTGTTGAAAAACACGAATTATAATAACCTCCGAATGACGTCGTATAAGAAAACATATAAAAATCTACTTATATTTGAAAATACATTTAATTTTTTTTGACATATCAATGCTCCCAAGCGTTGATGCATCTACCTGTATTCTTCTGCCATGCAATTTTGTGTATGTATATATTGTTTCGAAAAATGAAATTATTTTCATAATCCGTAATTGAAAGATACATACATTGCAGGACATGAAAATGATAAATATTTACAGTTATAATGCCACTTTTTATCTTGTGATTGCATGAGATTACCTTTTTAATTGTACCATGACAACAATGTTCGACGTAGCGTACACAAATAGTTAAATATTCCGCATTATGGTAAAATATTTTGTACGGCAGGTCCATATCTTAAAATCTACCAACATATTACTTTGTAAAAAATTATCATTTTTGAAATTCATCCAATTGTTACATTTTCTATTACGAAAATTTAATATTTTTGTATTATTCATTTCAATATTCAACACACAAGCAAAGGAATATTTATTTTATGATATTAGCTATTGGATTCAAGGCTGGCAAAAAATGAATTTTTTTATCATAATAACGGGCCTTATATTCAGTCAACTAGATAGACCAACCCATGGTACAATGAAGAGAAGGTAGGTCAACTTTAAAAAAATTGCAAGTATAGAGGTCTATCTGTTTGGCTTGTAATGTCAGAATTAGTATCAAAACAATAAAAAATCAAACTACTTGTTGCATTTATTTTGAATAAATAATTGAAACCCGCGATAACTGAATGAAAGGTCAACACTTCTTTTCAAAATCATGTACTATATATTTCTAAAGGATTATTTCGCTACAAAAACTCTAGATTTTGTCGATGCATGCGTTGAAATGAACATTTTGAAAACACCCGAATTTGAATGTTTTCTGAAAATTTTTTTTGTTATTGAAAAGAAAACGCATACATAAACAAATAAAGATGACATATTAGGCCACGAAAATAAAAAAATTAAAATCATATGGTATCATAGCCCTAGACCAACCTAGTTCACATGGACCAACCTAGTTCACACGCTGTTTTCAATGAATTGTTCAAACGAACTAGTTATTTCGTGAACTAGTAAAGGCGAGTTTACTTTAGGCAATTCATATTGTTTTCTTTTAAACTTGCATTGCACTTATTCGAGGCAATTTGTTTTCATCAAGTTTAGTCACTGCCTTTTATCTCGTTATTTTTGTATAAACATAAAAACACAAAAGAAATTATACACTCAATATTTTCCATTTACTTTCCCTTTACCGCTCTCCCTCTCTTTTCAAACAGAGAATTGCCGCAAGTAAACTTGCCTAATGTATATGCGGTCTATGCACCGCTACTGATATTGCGCGTATGTGTGTGTGCATTTTGCAATTATTTTCTTTATTTTGATTTACAATTCGGGCCAAAAAAACCGCACATATATCTTTACTCCATAATACACAAAGACACAATCGGGCGGCAGTGTGTGATAAGATTGGACAAACAACTAGTTAGCCGCAAGTACATATCAATTAGTTCATTCAATACAAATCAAACGTTTAAACCATTAATACACGTTATCCATCCATTTAATTTCTACAACACCGCAAAATCAGTGCGAATTATTATGAAAGACACGACGGAAATTCTAAAAAAGCTGCGTCAGCTGATGCAGTCCCATGGGCCGTCTCCTTTGGCGGCCTACATTGTGCCATCGGACGACGCGCATCAGAGTGAATATATTTGTCAGCATGACGAACGCAGAGCGTTTGTTAGCGGATTCGATGGCAGTGCGGGTACAGCTGTTATAACCGCAGACAAGGCACTTTTGTGGACTGATGGGCGTTACTATCAGCAGGCTCTCAAACAATTGGATTCCAATTGGGAACTGATGAAGGATGGCCTACCCACTACACCGAGTGTGGCCAGCTGGTTGGCTTGTAATCTGGCCAAAGACAGTAAGGTAGGAGTTGATCCAAAATTGTTTTCCTACCGCTTGTGGAAGCCCATTGAGAAAGAGTTATCTGGTGCTGATTGCTGTCTGATACCAGTTGAGGAAAATTTAGTGGATATTGTTTGGGGTGAGGAACAACCAAAGCAGACATCCAACCCCATTATTACATTGGACACTACATTTGCCGGTATGACGGTTTCGGATAAGTGGGCAAATGTCAAGGAAAAATTAACCGAGAAGAAGGCCCAAGCTTTGGTGGTCAGTGCTTTGGATGAAATTGCATGGTTTTTGAATTTACGTGGTTCGGACATTGATTACAATCCAGTATTTTTCGCTTACTTAATAATTACCCATGAAAAGCTGATGTTCTTTGTGGATTCAGCAAAGTTGCCTAGCGATTTCAAACAACATCAGTCCAGTAATGGTGTTGAGATTAGCATTTACAGTTACTCGGCCATTGGGGTGGTGTTGGGCCGTTTGACCGAGAACAATGCCGAAAGTAAAATCTGGATCTCCCCAGGTTCCAGTTACTACCTCAATGCATTGATTCCCAAGAAAATAAGACACCAGGAAATTACACCAATTGCATTGGCCAAGGCCATTAAAAATCCCATTGAAGTCGAAGGATTCATTAATTCCCACATACGTGATGGCGTGGCATTGTGTCAGTATTTTGCTTGGCTTGAACAAATGATTGCCCAAAAACAGCCGGTAGATGAGATCTCAGGTGCTACCAAACTAGAGGAATTTAGATCGAAGAAGGAACACTTTATGGGTTTGAGTTTCCCAACCATTAGCTCTTCGGGTCCCAACGGCTCGGTAATACATTATCATCCAGCCCAAGAGACAAATCGTCCCATCAACGACAAGGAAGTTTATTTGTGTGATTCTGGCGCCCAGTATAGAGATGGTACAACAGATGTTACACGTACCTGGCACTTTGGTGAACCTACCGATTTTCAAATGGAAACCTATACTCGTGTTTTAAAGGGCCAATTGGCTTTGGGTGCCACAGTGTTTCCCAAAAAAGTCAAGGGCCAAGTTCTGGATACCTTGGCCAGAAAAGCTCTGTGGGATGTGGGTCTGGATTATGGCCATGGCACGGGACATGGTGTTGGTCATTTCTTGAACGTACACGAAGGTCCCATGGGTGTGGGTATACGTCTAATGCCCGATGATCCTGGTCTACAAGAGAATATGTTCATTTCCAATGAGCCGGGTTACTATCAAGATGGTGAATTTGGCATACGCATTGAGGATATTGTGCAAATTGTTCCGGCCACGACAAAGCATGACTTCAATGGTCGTGGAGCATTGACATTTAAAACAATTACTTTGGCTCCCAAGCAAACCAAAATGATTAAGAAGGAACTATTGCTGCCAGAGGAGAAAAAATTGTTGAACGACTATCATCGTCTTGTTTGGGATACTCTGTCGCCAATATTGAAGAAAGAAGATGACAAACTTACTTTGGCTTGGCTAGAGCGAGAAACAAAAGAAATCTAAGAAATGGATGGCATTTAAACAAAATATAATCTTTGAAAAATTGTTTTTTTTTACATACATATGTACGTATATATACACTATAATAAGCGAATTTTTATAATATACCAATCTATCTATTTGTTGTTATTAAAGTATGCAGCCGGTCTTTTTTTAATAAAGCAACAAAGAAATAAATAAATGTATATATATTTGGCTTCATAACTAGTATTGCTTGCAAATGAATACTTTGTCTTGTTGCCATTGGCCCAACGGTAATTGTTTGGTAATTTTTCAATACTTGTTTTATCTATGGACGAATACCACAATTTATTGTGATTTTAAGTGTAATAAGATCAAGAGTTTTGTTTTTATCAATAAAAACTTTCTGATCGGAAATCTAATCTTGTGTACACATTCTGTGTTCCCATAATTTATGAAGATATGATATGGACTTTGTGAAACGACAAATCGAATGGGAAATTACAATGAGAATGGCAGATATTTGATAGCTGTAGAAACAAAAAAAAAACATTGGAAGCACCCTCAGAGGTGTTGAAAATAAAAATGAATCGACTTTTTAGGACGAACTCGAATATGATTACTGCCCTGCTTGGATTCAATTCTGTACATAAGTAGACAACAGTAATATTTATCGCCGATTTTAATCCTGCGTCGTCGCACGAGTCTTTCAGACAGTGTTACTCAAACCACAATCTCATGAATACGCATATTCCTACTTGAGGGATACAATGATACAAAGGAAATTGGCCGAAGGTGGTGAACTGCCGAATTTAGTTTTCTCCGATGAGAAAACATTTGTTGTCTAGCAGTTTGTAAACAAACAAAATGATCGTGTTTACTTGCCAAAGAGGTCAGCTGAAAATGTGCACCTTCGGTTGGCCACCAGAACTCAAACGCCGGCCATAGTGATGGTGTGGGCCGCCATAACAGCCGATGGTTGCTCTCCGCTCGTATTAATCGACCGTGGCATCAGAATAAATGCCGAATATTATCGCGAAAATATTCTGGAGGGTGTATTTAAGCCTTGGGTACGCAAACATTTTGGCCGCAGACCTTGGACATTTCAACAGGACTCAGCGCGCGCCACCCAAGAATGTTTACAAAATGAGGTCCCTCGCTTAATTTTCAGCGCACAATGTCCACCAAAATCTCCGGATACCAATCCGTTGGACAATTTTGTCTGTAGAATTTTGGAAAGCAAGGTTGGCACTAAAAAAATATCAAAGTGTCGATCACCTCAAGAAAGCGCTTCGCCGGTAATGGGTCAAAATTTGCTTCTGCTGTTTTTTTCTTCTTGGCCTGCGATTTTTCCCCAGACTTCAGTAACATCTTCAAGCAATCCGACCTCCCTGATACGCCCGTTATCTTTTACTTTTTATTTATCGGGCAAATCTGAGCTCAGGTTATGGCACAATTGCGGTCAGGATTTTTTGCTGTCTTTTTTCGAACTATTCCTGAAATAACGACACAATGCAGAGCTTCTACAGAGACAGAAGTAGAGCTACGTTAATGATAAATACATAATCCTGTTTCAGTTTCAGAAGATTCTTCAGCACACATATTCGCCTTAGGTGAGCTGCGAATTAAATAAGCAATCGCTGAGTGGTCAGAGAGAGTCTCGGCTTAAACCAGCGATTCTATGAGTGACTTGGCGATTTTTCGGCTCCCTTAAAATTAAAAAACTTCCCTGGCGTCCCCATCATCTACCGCTGGGGTGTTATGTGACTTAGAGCCCATCAGTGTTTCAGCTTTGCTGCGTCTTTATTCTAATAGAGTTTCGTTGATACCTGGGCGCCTCAACCAATATCAGGTTTAGCTCGACCCCAGTCCCCTCAAAAACTAAGACTTGTGGAAGGTCTTGTTAGATCAGGTTAAAGGATGCGTTAACAACCATTCCACTGGGAGACCTGCTGGTCCATCGTTTTCATCCTTAAATTAAAGAAAAAAGGTGACACAAAATTATAGAAATAATGTCCGATCCACGAAGAGACTTGTGTGTCGTCTTTAGCCACTTTAGCCTTCTGGTTAACGGAGGAGTGACTGCTGGCTCAGTTTCGGAGAATGAAAACAAATCGTGCAGAACTTCCTTCCCCATGAGCCTATGTCTAATACCAAAAAGAGTCTGACAATGGCAAAGTTTCCTCCTTGTCTTCACAATCCCTATAGTAATAGAAGTCGCCATTCCAGTTAGAAGTCATGACCCTTATGTTATGGTGACCTGTGAATAATCCCACCACCAGTTCTAGGTCTGATTTCGTCTTGGATATAAGATACCTTAATCTTTTGTCCGAGACCATAGGGCCAATTTTCTTAGAGACATTGCATCCCCTTCCATTTAGCCAAATTTATGGACATCTCCCGGAATAATGTCCATGTATCACTCGGAATGAGTGGCATAAGGGTCCAAAATCAATTGACTCGAGATCCACATCTTACCAATTCATATGCAGATTCATTGCCAGAGATGTTGCAATGGCTTAGGACCCAACATGGATTTAATAGCAAACGAATTTAACGCTTTCAGGGCCCATAGTCTATCGACATATATAGTCACCGGTCCGTTCAGTTCACTGTTTATGTTCGCCAGCATACTGGTCTTAATTAACAACACCATTTCTAAACAGCAGCAAGCATTTCGTCAAATTGTTGCGGATATGGAACCGCTAAACCTGAGTCAGGACAGGATCCCTGCAGATTTCTAGGAAAGCCACCTGTGTGCCGAGAGAAGCACATGGATACTACGCCTTGACCACCCGTCAGAAATTGACACTTGTGAAGGTAACAAGGCCTGCCAACCTAATTAACACTAAATTGTTGGCAAGCCCATGCTAGAAGGAGGACAGAGCAAGATAAAAGTTGTCTTTTATTTCCTTTTTTACCCTCCACCATAGTATGGAGGGAATATTAAGTTTGCCATTCCGTTTGTAAAACATTGAAATATACATTTTAGACCCCACAAAGTATATATTCTTGATCTGCATAAAATTCTATTCTATTCTTTAGGTAGGTTGATAAAATTTTACTCAAATGTGTATTATGTCTGCAGGACTTTTGATATTGAAAATGGGTCATGCAGGTCCACGTTTTGGTATAGCCCCCATATATTGGTTCCTCCCTCTTTTTCGGTATTTTGATGATCTTATCGACTTTATTCGCCGGAAATGTTTCAAATTTGGTATTTGAAGTTCGTAATGGATAGTACAGTCTCATACAGACAATTGTCTGTGCAGGTCCTCGTCTTCGTATAGCCCCCATAAACGGTACCTCTCGATATTCTTGATGATTTTAGCGACATTATTCACCGGAAATGTTTAAAACTTGGTGTTTGAAATTCGAAATGAATACTACAGCCTAAGACGGAAAATTGTCTGTACAGGTCCACGTCTTCGTATAGCCCCCATATAGCGGTATCTCCCGTTATTGGGTATTTTGATGATTTTAGCGACATTATTCACCGGAAATGTTTCAAATTTGGTATTTGAAGTTCGTAATGGATACCACAGTCTATGACAGAAAATTGTTTGTGCATTTCCACGTCTTCGTATAGCCCCCATATAACGGTACCCCGGCGCTATTGATTATTTTAGCGAATTGTTTCAAATTTGGTATTTGAAGTTCGTAATGGATACTGCAGCCTGAGGCAGAAAACATGGTCTTATCAGTGAGCATCTGATGATATTTTTTTTTATCCCACCACCTAGGTGCATTACTCGAGTCCTAGTTACTTTGTTTGACAGGAAAATACTACAAGCAAAAATGAAAAGCTTTTATGTCATTAGAAAGAAATAGTAGAATCCAGTGAAGTCACTTCAAATTCTAACGAATTCGGTTTGAACAACAGTTGGACTTGTCGGAGTCCAGGAACGTGAATCAAAAACTTCAAAAAAAAGCACATCTGGGAAAATTTAGCCCAACTACTAAATTCGTTTAAATTTCTACGGACTGAAGAGTTACAGGCCAAATTAATATATCTCCCCAACTGTATTCAAGAGTAAGTTATGGAGCGATTCATAATAAAACCAGAGTACAGCTGCCCACATATATCAGTACATCATCATCAGGCGACCACCATTACATTTCGTTATTGAATAAGTTTTTTGTTTTTTCCTTTTTTAAAATTGTATTTTATTTTGCGTATATAATAATATTACTGTGAAATATGTGTTTTAGGAATCTTGTAGGCTAAAACAAAATAAATGTTTGAGATTATAAAAAAAATGTATTTACAAATAACTAATTATAATAGAATGGGGGACAAATTTTATTAAAAATAAAGACATTTTTAATGAGGGGTTCTTTGTTTTGCTTGAAATATTAAAATAATTTAAACATAAACACCTTAATGTTAGGTTGAAAAAAGTTTCGCTTTTTCATAGTAATAAAAATAAGAGGTCATGTAGTGGTTATCCAATTCACAGTAGGAAACACATCAATAGAAATAAAATATTTTAAGTGGACACGACGATGAATGGATATTGGTTAGTTGGAAAAAAAACTCCGAATTGTGTGTACAAAACAAATAAACAAGGTGTTTAAATAAAAACATTTAGGACAAAATTAAAACTTGTAAATTGAAAAATAGATGGGTAAAAGGGGGCGCGGGTGTTAATGTAACAGTTTTTTCTTTTTGTAGAATGTAAATTGGTTGGTGTGAATACAATATATTTTTTTTTTGGAAAAACATTTCCCATTTGTATATGTATGTGTGTGTATATTTAAAACTAAAATGTAGTCTATATTTTACCATAAAGACTACTAAATTAAGCCTCAAAATCTGAATCATCATCATCATCATCTTCGCTATCGCTGGCCACAATACGTTTCTTTTTCTTCTTTGTCTATAACGAAACATGAAGCAATCATGAAATATGCAATTAAATTCACAATTTATTGGAAAATACTCTACATACCTTTTTATCAGAATCACTATCCGGACTGGATAAGTTGGCCTTCTTGCGCGGTCGCTTGACTGCTGCTGCAGGCTTTTTCTTTTTAACCGGTGTATCTTCTTCTGGTTGGAAATCATCAAAGTCACTGTTTTCAGCGTCTGATATTTTGGCCACTGTATTGGAGGACTCTTTGACGGCATCGTTTTCTTTGAAAACCATTTCACCCTCGCTGCTCTGTTCCTCCTCAGAATCTAAAAGACCAGAGTAGTTGATCTTTTTGTTGGTGGCTGCTCGTCGACCGGGACGATCGGCACGGGGAGCCACGGCCGCCACGCTCATTTCAACATCACTGCCAGACAAGTTTAGGTCGTCTTCCTCATCTGAGCTTCCGGCCTTTTTCTTTCGCTAAAACAGAAAACAAATAGTTGTCAATATTCATGGAGACATCACTGAATTACTTACACCCTTGGCCTTGAAATTTAACGTGGACTGTTTCATTCCATCACCAGTTTCATCTTTCTTTTTGCGTCCCCTTTTGGGTGCTGCTGCGGTACCAGGCTCCTTTTTAACTTTTGCTGCCTTGGCGACGCCACCAGACTCTACCAAATTATCAAACTCATCGCCTTCTTCCTTTATGGCGGCTGGATCCTTGCCAGCTGCCTTCTTATCTACCTTTTCCTTTTTAACTTTGGTAGTGGCTGCGGCTGCTGCTGCTACTTTCTTCAATATTTCCTCCGTTACTTTGAATTCTACCTTAACACCTTGTGGATCGGGGAAAACATCTGCTCCACCTTTGTCTCCACCACGTTTCTTAGTAGCTGCAGCCGCGGCTGCCTTATTCTTGGCCAGTGCCTTAGCCTGTTTCTTGTTAATACCCAACTCATCCAGACGTTCCTTTTCTTCAACTTCATCTAATTTCTTTTCCAGTTCATCGAGATCATCCAACCACAGCATTTGTATGGTCTTCTCTTTAAGGGCAGCCAATTCAGCAAGTTTCTGATCGCGTTGTTTTAACAGTTCATTCTTACGTTCTTCTGTCAACATCCACATGGACATACCCAAAAGATAATCGAATTTCTTGACATCGGTAAGTTTTTGGAATGCTTTTTCAGGATCTGCAGCTGTTTTCTTCTCCTTCTTTACTACCGATGTGGACGCAGCCTCCTCTTCTTCGCCTTCTTCCTCGTCTTCAGGCTCCTCCTCCTCTTGCATATTGATGCGTCTTTGCCATTCCTTGACTGGATCGGGACGATAACCACGCTTGATCAGTTCATCAATCATTGCTTTACGTTTCTTGTTTTCAACCACCAGCGTACGTTCACACTTCTCCAAAATGAAACGAGCCTGATCAGTGAGGCGATCAGCCTGCGCCGTCAACATACCGACCAAATAATCTTTACGCTTCTGATAGTAATCTAAACGCAGGGGATAGAAGGATCTTAGTATATCCACCGATGTTGGATAACGCCTTAAACAGTTGAGTTCATCAAATGCATGCATTTGATTTGTGGACATAGAAGAAGTCAGCTTGAAAACACGATGGAAACCACCGGGTTCTTCATTAAGACGATCGAATTCTCCGGGAGCCAAGGTTATGACGAAACGTACTGTCGTGTCGGTGTGATATTCACGATAATCCGAAATAATCGGTTTAACCTTTTCCGAACCATTAGCCAAGGGCTCCAAAACATTTTCTTTATAGGTTTGGGTCCATGTTCCAACAGGCAACTCTGATATTTCAATTTTATCTCCTTGAACAATTTGTATATTACCCGAACTGATGTAGCGGCCATCTGAGATATATTCAATTGTACCGCGGAAATTCTTATACCTAAACGAAAGTATTGCCATGTATTAAAACGAAACATAAAATCAATTAAGATTTTCCACTCACCATGGATGCATTACTTGAGGTTCCTCGCCGGCCAACATGCGTCGTATATTCCTCATTATATCCCTTGGATTGTGATTGTAGATTTTAGTTGACCAACCGGTACCAATACCATCAGCACCGTTTACCAAGACCATTGGTATAATGGGTATATACCACTGGGGTTCAATCTTTTGACCATCATCTACCTCATAGGCCAAGAGAGGATCATCCATGGGATGGAATATGAGACGGGCCAGTGGTGACATTATTGTGAAAATATAACGAGCGCTAGCACAATCCTTGCCACCCGTTAAACGAGTACCGAATTGACCTCTAGGCTCTAGCAAATTGATATTATTCGAACCCACATAGTTTTGGGCCAAATTAACAATGGTCATTTGCAGGGATACCTCACCGTGATGGTAGGCAGACATTTCAGCAACCGAACCAGAAAGCTGGGCAACCTTAACTTCACGTTTGTCATTACGTTTGAAGCAGGTGAACATAACTTTACGCTGGCCGGGTTTGAAGCCATCCACCAAACATGGTATGGAACGTACATTGTCGGCATTTGAGAACAATACCAATTCCAAATTAATGAAATCGGCATATGTCACAGCTTTTGTGCCTTTCGTGTAGAGATATCGTTCCGGTAATCCAAGAGTTTTTCGTCGCTTGACTTCGTCCATATGGGCAGTAAGCCATTCTTTACGCGACTCAATGTGTTTCTTAGAGAATGCCATTACAATACTGTCATCATCTTTGGAGCCATCGTATTTAAAGAGAATTCGATGACGTTCCATATCTTGGAAATATTCTTTAGCCTCCTTCGATGTGGAGGTACCCAAACCTGAAATAGACAGATGTATAGAAAATATTCATTAGTTTGTCTTCCTATTTCTGTAACACCAAAAAATAAAAACCTTTGTAGTATTTGATATTGTAGGTATTGTGATTGGGTGTATCGTTCTTCCATTCCTCGAACTCAGGCAGTGAGTAGAATGAGAGTTCCTCGTTCTTCTTTGTGGCTTTAACAATGGGTGTAATAAATTCCTCCAAAAATGGCAACCGGAGCAGTTCGGGCCAATTTGTGTGTATAAAGTTGATGAGCAAACCTTTAATGTGGGAACCGTCCTGATCCTGATCTGTCATTATCATTACCTTGCCATAACGTAGGGTCTTGATATCATCCATGGTAAGATATTTCTTTTTATATTGCAGGCCAATGATTTTACACAGATTGTTGATTTCAGCATTTTCAGCTAATTGTTTGAACGTGGCCTCACGAACATTCAACAATTTACCACGCAATGGAAATACACCATAAAAATTACGACCAATAACACCAAGACCAGACACAGCCAGAGATTTGGCTGAGTCACCCTCAGTGAGAATTAGAGTACACATGTAGGAATTTTTCGTGCCAGCTTCGTTGGCATCCTCCAACTTGGGTATACCCTTGATTTTTGAAGACTTCTTACCACCGGTTTTGGCAATATCATTTTGGGCTTTAAATTTGGCCCATGACAATACGGATTCAACGATGCCGGACTTGGAAACGCTTCCAATGAATTTCTCTGATATATTACATTTGGAGCCGAAACCTTTGGCTTGAAGTGTCATGTTTTCCTTGGTTTGCGAATCGAATGTGGGATTTTCAATTAAACAATTGACAAAAATCCACATATGATTACGAACTTGAAAGGGTTTAATGTTGATGCCACCTTTATTTTTCTTTTTCAAAACTTCCAGTAGTTGTTTGATAATATTGTCCACCACATGATCGACATGACGACCACCCTTAGTTGTGGCAATTGAGTTGACAAACGAAACTTGTTGGAAACCACGATCCGATGGACAACAGGCAATCTCCCAACGTTCTCCACACTGTTCGTAGACAATTTTAACGGGCTGACCGGCGGAGTCATCTTCACCTTTGACATAGAGATCGATATAATCTTTGAAATTCTTTACAGCCAATTTTTTTCCATTCAAATATACGGCAATGCCTTTCGTGGAAGCCGCCACATCAAAGGCTCTTCTGGACATCAAGGCAACAATGTCTTCATCCAAACGATCCATTTTGAATTTGGCCAAATCAGGGCAGAATGTAATTTTTGTATAATCTGTACCGGCAAATTCTTTAATCTTGGGATCTGTGGTTTTTGTCATGTTTGCCGCCCAAGTTTGTTTGAAGGAGCGTTTGAACTGTTTCGAAGCCGTTTCCACGGTAAACATGGTGGAAAATATGTTACACAACTTCGCACCATAGCCATTACGACCACCGGTAACTTTTTTCTCATCGTCATTGTAGTTCGAAGAGGTCAACAAATGACCAAAAATCATAGTTGGCACATACATTTTTTCCTCTTTGTGCATTGTTACCGGTATACCCTGGCCATTGTTCCATATCGAAATTGTATTCTTTTCGGCTTCGATATCAATTTTAATTGCACTCATGGACTTGTCCCTTTGCTTGTTGTCGGCGGCATTTACCAAGATTTCATCGAAAATTTTGTAGAGACCAGGAACAAATGATATTTCTCGTTGGACCATACGATTCTTTTCTTCATTATACACCCACATCAATTCCTTGGTATGTTCAACAGAACCAATGTATGTATCGGGTCTCAAAAGAATATGCTCCAATTGTGATTTCTTTTGGTACATCTTTTCGATGGATATACCACCACCGCCACCACCACTACCCGAGGCATTGCTTCCATTCTCCATTTTTAATTTGGTATGAAGTGCAGTAAAAAATCTAGGAATGCGTTGAGTAATAAAATTTGTGTTATCTCCTTAGACGTTAAATGTACAAACGATTTTAATAAAATAATGTTACAAATTATTTTCAAGTGCTGCTGTCGAATTTGCTTGTTTATATGTCCTTAGAATATTATAAACGCATCCTGAAAAGATAAGAGAATTAAAGATAAATAAAATTACAACATATAATAAAAACACACAACCTTTCAATGGCGAACACAAGAATCAACTAAGCCAATCTAAAGGAAATTACAAAAATTGCAGCTGCTGTGTTTCGAAAAAGGATCAAAGGTAGCTCAAAGGAACAGGAGGCGTCCTTTAGGTACAGCTTAAGAATGGTTTCCATACAAAACGACCAAGAGAGAAAGAGCGAGAGAGATACTCAAAGAGCACATATACACACAAACAAATTCCCATGCAAACTTCCAAGTGAGCGGGAAAACTGTATCTGCATTGTATATGCATATGTTTGTGTGCGTGTGCAAACAAATGCACAAACGCGAAAAACAATGTAGAAATGCCGACAAAAAAAACCAAACAAAGCAACACGCTCAATACGCCGCAAATACAGCAGCCATAGGAGGTACATAAGAACTATGCAATAATTATGGTTAAAACTATGAAAATCCAGCTACTTCTTAATGATTCCTCGAAATGGTGGAATTTGTTAAATTTACAAAGTTCGGACCGATTTAACATCAAGCCGCCATTTTTGCAAACATTACACAACTGAATATGAGATGAAAGTAACATTAAAAGCACTTCACGCCAATCGGAGCCGACAAATTTCCAAGTTTTTTTCATTTAAGTTTTCGCGATATTAATTCTTAGACAATCGTTTTTATATACATACCACCACGCCGCTATTGCATTAAACTGTACACCATTACAGCCAATATTTTTGCAAACCGATTAAGACGTTAATAACGCAGCGTCCTTATATATATTTACTTCTTCTGTATAATTCTAAGCCTTTTTTTTCGGTGCTTTGTATGGAATAAATCAAACAATTGATATTTTACAATTTACACCTTGCAAAAATATTTTTACCGCACTTCGACTGTAGGAACGCGCGTCGTCTGAATGGCTTGTAATCTTCGTTAAATACGAATTGTCAACGAAGTCTGTGAAAATCATAACGGCGTCACTTTTTATGAGTGCGAATAAAAAATCGATAACCGATTAGAGGGAAACGCATTCGAAGTGCCCTTTTCACGTGGCGACGTTTACATGACAATGTCTATTCAGATTAACCTTCATTATCAGGATTTTTAGTAGTTTAGGGCGTTGTTGACATTTTCCCTCTATTATTGATATATTTGACATATCAATGTTCACAAGCGCTGTTTTATATACAATGGGTACAATAAATAACAACGTAACCTAAAATTCGACGTACTCGGTCGACGTTTTTCATCACAGAAGTAAAACACATGTAATTATATGATTGTTACCATGGTATAAGAATATGGGTATATCATGGCAGAAGAATACAGGTAGATGCATCAACGCTTGGGAGCATTGATATGTCAAAAAAATTTAAATGGGTTTTTGAAATATAAGTAGATTTTGTTATGAGGTTGTTATGATATGCATTTTTAGACAATTTTAACTAATTTGAATAACTTTTCATTCAAATATTTAAATTTCCAGATAGATTTGACAGTTCATTGTCCCAGCAGCTGTGTCGATGCGACTACTTGTATTCTTCTACTATAATTGTTATCCATGGTAAAATTGTTGAATCACGCTTGAATTCCATCACGAATAACTTTTTTCTGGAAAATTCTCACCAAAATGCTTTTGTACGCTTGTAAACAATATAATGAGCTGTCACTGTCGGACAAGTCTGAAGTTGGTTGCAGTTTTTTCATCTCACCCTGCAGGCATATTAATGTCAAATTATAATTTAAAACGACAGCAGGATTTTAGTGCGGTTCTGTAACCCCTTTATGAAATGTCACAAGACATGCCTAGCCATGACTTCAAGCTTCTTATGTACTTACACATTTACTCATGGTATGGCTACAAGCTATTTAAAATTCAGTTTTGGCATGGAATTTAATTATAAAACGGTTAAGATCATATTTTGGAAGAAATTACAGGTATTTAATTTATCTTTCGCTTGTGTACATTTGGATACAGATGTTAGTTTGTAACGATAAATAATTAAGAAATCTCCTTACATAATACTATGTAGGTTCTTCCATGGCTCAATAAGAAAGGTATCTCAACTTCGAAGAAATAAGGAAAACTGCAGCACTGTACCGTAGTCTTATAGTATCGAATATATTTTTAAACATGCAACAATTGGTTTTATTTATTTTACTTGTTTTCACAAACTTACTATACTGGGGAAACCCCCCAAATTTCGAATGAAATTGGGGTTTATCCACAAAATTGAATCCAAGATAGAGGGGCAATGTTGTTTCATCCCAAAATAATACACTTTGTTGCCCGTTAAAGTGGAAATTATGCATTTTTGTTGCATTAAATCTATTTTCATTTTAGTTCAAGACAGTACATACATATTCAAACAGTTTATATATTTTGACAGAATAGGGGCACCAAAAGAAAAAAATGTTTTTATGGGGTAGCTTTGTTCTACCTTCTGTAATTGTGTCATGTGCTCTTCTAAAATAAAACCAATTATATTCTAAAATATTTTGTATACATATATTCTCTATATTTTTGTAATACGATCGTGCTATATCATCATTTATAATCAGACACACCTAATATGCTGGTCATACTTGGCCACTTAAATTCGCCTTATAAAACATAAACAATGAAATTCGCCTGTTTACCTTGACTCGTGTGCGACGAAAGTTGTCCAAATCATTCAAATTCCCATAAGAACACAAAAGGAGCACTGAATGGATCGGGAACGCTGTGACATATTGGAGCTGTTAAATGGTGGAAAGTCTTCGGACGGTTTTCTGCGTGTGGCGGCACCTATGGTCAGATATAGCAAATTGGAATTCAGGCGATTGCTAAAAAAGCATGGTGTAAGTTTTGTATATCTGGTCTTATTCTTTGAATGTGTCCAAATAAATGGATTTTATCAAACTAGGTGCAATTGAGATTTACACCCATGATTATAGCAGATTCATTCACAAGAAGCGAGAAGGCTCGACAAAATGAATTCACAACAGCTGAAGATGATATACCGGTGATAGCTCAGTTTGCCGCCAAAGATGCAAATGAATTTGTAAACGCTGCACAGCTTGTTTATCCATATGTAGATGGTAATAGAAAATAATTTTTTGCTCTAACTCTTTTGAAGAAAAACAATTTTTAACACATACAATTCATAGGCGTGGACTTAAATTGCGGTTGCCCACAGTCCTGGGCCATAGCCAAAGGTTACGGTTGCGGTCTCTTGAAGAATCCTGAGCTAGTAAAGGATATTATTAGTACCACACGACGGACATTAAACGAACACATAAGTATATCCGTAAAGATACGTCTGTTGCAGCACGCTTCAAGTAGAACAACAGTGGAATTTGCCCGTCAATTGGAAATGTGTGGTGCTACATTTATAAGTTTACATGGAAGGACTATGTGGCAAAAAACATCGGAACCCTTGAATGTGGAAGCAATACGAGATATTAAAGATGCTCTGAATATACCCTTGATTGCCAATGGAAGTGTTAAAACCTGGGATGATGCTTGTACGCTGCATAAACAAACCGGTGCAGATGGTGTTATGGTGGCACGAGGACTGCTGTCAAATCCTGCTCTGTTTAATATGAAATACAAGAATGCAACAGTTACACCAATAGAGTGTGTACAGGATTGGTTGGATATTGCTGCAGAGGTAAGTATTTTTCAGACATAGTATTTTACTACGGACATTTAAACTAAAAAACTTCCAAATATACTTGCAGGCGGGGGAGAATTTACATTTCCTGACGTTTCATCATCATCTTACATTCATGTGGGGTGCACATTTGAAACGCAAAGAACGCCTGGAATTTAATTCGTTTACCACAAAGGAAGAGATATTCAATTTTTTTGCTGATAATTACAACATCAAACCTACAACGCAATTCATAGAAAAGTCTTATCCACCATACACAAATTGTTCCTACGATCATTTCCAACCAGAAATTAAAGATGTAAATAATGTGGAAGATTGCACCTCATCATGGAATTCAAACACAAAAGGGAAATTCTTCAGCGAATTTTCTGAAGAATTGGATGCTGATGATGACTGTAGTTTGGGAAATAGCTTCTTCGCTGATATGTAAATAATTACCTATGTCATAGAAATAAGAATGTTAGTTGATACCGTAATATAGCTACATTTGTGACAAAAATATGTTTATGCATTTATATTGAATGAGAATGAAATGATAAAATCCTGACCTCTTCATTTACATACAGCTAACCTGCTTAAGCGATCTGAGTGAATATCGATTAATATTACTACAGATGGCCTGTATGAAATATTAAATGTTTAGTATGCATCTTTACGCCGCTATCGTGGTATTGATGGCTAGATTCGCTGGTTTGCGAGACAACATGGGACATTTGTTATATATAATCGTGATATTATTATTACAAGGTAACATCAAATACAGAGAACCACTGGTTGCAAATGCATTACCCGATGATTTAAAAAGTTTGCTAAATACAGCTTATATATTGTAAATTACATCAGGACAAGAAATGTGTATTCTTCATTCAGAAATGGATAGTCTTCATTCATATCTTCTTTTCCATACCGTGATACGTTGGTTATCCAGCGGAAAAGTACCGATGCGGTTAATGGAACTACGGCATGAAGTTAATAAATACTTAGGCAAACCCGAACTAATCGGCATTTTTGCAGTTCACGATAAAATTCGAGTGTTCTTTAAAAAGCTCTTTTGTGGGAGAATGGTGTTAAAATGTGATTACTTTTAAAAACTTGTAACCCTAATATTATAAACCAATTTTTGCGCATTTATAACTTTTGAGAAATAATTTTAGTACCCATTCCGGAGGAGAGATACAAAACTTAACAACCAAAAAAGCTGTAAGTTCGGCCGGGTTGGACTTTGAATACCCCACCATTTTGAACGAATTTGGCAATTTTCAAAAAAAAAAATCCGTTAAAAATTCTGTTAAAATCTTAAAAATAAAAAATGTAGCCGTCATATTAGGGTCTAAACGACGACGTGGACCGGCATAGGCAATGTTCTAGTACCCGTTAGGAGTTTCCAATACGAAATTTGAAACGATTCCGGTGAATAATGTTGCTGAAATCATCAAATCGGGAGCTACCTTTATATGGGGGCTATACGAAGACGTGGACCTTCATACAAAAATTGTATATGGCTGTAGTATCGATTAGGCTGTAGTATCAATTACGAAGTTCAAATGTGAAATTTGAAAAAATTCCGGTAAATAAAATCGCTTAAATCATGAAAATACCGAATATCAGGAGGTACCGTTATATGGGGGCTATACGAAGACGTAGAGCTGCATACAAATTTTTTTTGTCATAGGCTGTAGTACCCATTATGAACTTTAAATATGAAATTTGAAATAATTCCGATAGATACTGTCGCTAAAATCATAAAAATAATAAATAAAAATATTTTATATGTAGCCCTTTTTTCTCTCTATCGCAAATTGGTATAAACAGTATTGAAGTGTATTTTTCTTTGTCCAATCGAAAATTTCTCATGAAATATTTCAATATCTGACATACAATTTTATAAGCTTTCACGAAACTCTAACCTGATACGATAGAAACCGACCTAGTTATCCCTACTTTATTTACAGCTGAATACATTTTTCCATGTCTCATTCGTAAACAAGCTAGCAGTTGGTCATTATGCCTTACACCCATTCGTAAACAAATTGTTGTTGGTCATTTTGTTTTGTACATTTATTCTTTTGCGTCTCACTCATTTTGCTCTTCCTATTTGGAACGTTTATAACTGAGTACGGTCCAAATAAATTAGCTTTAATTAATTAATTTATTAGTAACTGTTTTGACAATTCGGAAAAAAATTAGTTCAACATCTCCATTGCCGACCATGTTTTATGGCCATAGTAGGTATGAACCATTCCTAGAAGTCATATTGGAGTGAAAAAGTAGAACATCTAAACAAGATTAGAAACAAGCCGATTGCCATAAGATTAATATATGTTTTTATAAAAATATATGTTTATGAAAATCCATTTAAATTATAAATATATTAATCTTTTTCTCAGCTAATCCAAGCCGCCGAAAACAATTGCAAATCACCGCCGAATGATTTAGATGATACATCGCAGCTGTAAAAATTGTTTGGCTTTGTTTTACCCAAGCAGACAGATTCACTTTGTTGCTAATTTTTATCGACAATTCTTTGTCTGTCTTCATATTCGTATCGTCGTAAATGACTAATTAGAGAAGTGAAGTGTAGCCCACGTAAATTAATTTTTGCAAGAAACCAAATAAAATACATTCATCTATAAATCTACACAATTAGTAACGATTTTGGGTATTGTTGTATCATCGGTACCGGAACCAAATAAAAGAGAACACAATTGTGAAAAGAGTAAATACACAATAAAATCGAAATATGTGCAATAAAGTAAACATTCAGTCAATCATATACACTTGAAATTGGATACCTAAAATCCACTTTGTTTTTGTGATAGAAATGCATTTCTCTATTCCTGATACACAGGAATTATATTCCGAAACGACTGGTACTACCTACACAAGTTATAACATTTATATTAATGGTACTTTTCATGCCTGCCTACGCTACAAACAGTTGCATGCTCTGAACGAACAATTGCGAAGGCAGCTGTTGCCCATTGGCCATGTTATGCCAGAGTTTCCTCCAAAGAAATTTTTGCCATTAACCAACTCACAAGTTGAAAGTCGTCGTCAATCCTTGGAGCACTATTTGCAACTGCTGGGTCAAGATGCACGTGTTTCAAAGCTGCCGATCTTCCAACAATTCTTTTTAAATGCCCAGCTGGAAACCGCCCTGGCGGATGGTATTTTCGAAGAGTATTTTGGTTATGGCACCGAGGATGGTGATTCATCCTCCAATCGCGTTGAGGAATATATGCGCTGTACATGCCTTGAAGTTATACTACCAAATGGTTATCAGCTCAAGGTAGACAGTTATGTGTCGGACAATGCAACAGCATTATTGCGAAAGGCTCTAACTTGTGTGCAATTGCCTGCTGATATGATGCCATACCTCTGTTTGTTTCTGGTGCGACGTGAAAGCAAAGACTCGTTGGTGTTATTGAGGAAACTAATGGATTTTGAGTCACCGTTTGTGTCGCGACTTTACAACCAACCGTGCCAAATTCAAATACGTAAAAGTTATTGGAATCCCGCCTATGATCTGGTGCTAATGAAAAATCCAATTGCCTGTAATCTGCTGTTTATGCAAACAATTTCCGAGATTGAGCGTGAATGGATAATTGCCTCGCCGGAGGTGTTGAAAAAATTGAAATCGCTACAAGAATATGGTATGCATAAGGAATACATTGATATGGCCAGACAACTGCCATTATATGGTTGTTTGCAGTTCCAAGCCTCAGTTGTGGATTATCCGGAACCCGAAACAACTGCCTTAATAGCCATAGGTAACAAAGAGTTGAGCATGAGAACTATGCAACAGGATAAAATATTGGAAACCAAATTTCGAGTTACCCGTATGAGAGTGTGGCGTGTCACCGCCTTACACAATACCCAGCAAACGGACAGCAAAGAGAAGACATCAAATCTGCAGTTGTCATTTGAATATTTGATGTCGAAACAGAATCTGCGATGGATTACCATCAGTAGTCCACAGGCAATGCTAATGTCTGTGTGTTTGCAGGAAATGGTTAATGAATTGCTCAATTACAAGGATAATAATAAAGAACCAGCAGCACCTACACCCACGGGCAGCAGCTCACAACAGACTACTTGCTCATCATCATCGTCGACTTCATCGTTTACCTATCCAACGCCTACATCCTCATCATCATGTTCGTCTTCCTTTGCTCCTCACGCAAATCCCAATAGTTACGTGCAATCCTATAATGATCCGATTTTGGGCGGAGATGAGGAGTCCGCCTCGCCGTGTGATAACAACTCAACAGAGGCGCCAATTAAATTTTTAGCTCAACGAATTTTAAGCAAACAAAATCCTAGAATATCAAAGCAACATTCCTACGGCGCTGTCTTCTTTCGCAACTCAATGTTGGCGCGAGAGGATTCAGTGCAAAACGAGGCATTTGAGGGAATTGGTGATGATGATTTATAAAATGGGTTTTTTATGATCAAATAAGAAATGTAAATAATTTGAGTTTAGAGATTGTCCATATATGACAAGTTATGATATGTTCAAAGTAAACGAACGTGAATCATTTGGTCGGTTCCAGAACCTGTAAGAATCTACTAGCTTTGCAATTTTCTCCGATATCATAAAGGGAAAATCGGTTATCGCTAGTAAAAACTTTTACATTCCTGCAATTCTGGAACAGACCAATTATTGTACGAAATGTTATATTGTGCCAAAGTCGTCCAGTTCCATTCATCTCTTGTTATGTTGACATTTTTAATTTTTGGGATTAAAGGCAAGTCGATATGCCTTTCTATGCATAAGGGATATGCAACAGTGCAACTTCGATAGGAAGGATTGATATTTTGATTTGTTCGAAAAATTATTTAATTATTCAAATTGATTGTAGTGAATACTTCTGACCAGTTTAGTTTAAAGAAATTAAAACAAGTTTTTGTTTCTGTTTATCCTCCGATATTAACATATTCTCTTATTGAACGCACGTCGGTCGCAAAGAATCAGTGCCTCAATATAGTTCCTGTAAACAATGAGGCACTGATTCTCAGTGACTGAGGAAGCGCCGAGGATAAACCGAAACTTATTTCATTTTTAAACCCTCGACCATTCTATGGTCACCCCGTTTGTAACTCCTCGAAATTTTCATAATAGACCCTACAAAGTATATATATTCTGGATCAGCGTAAAATTCTAAGACGATCTAGCGATGTCCGTCTGTCTGTTGTAATCACGCTATCTTTCAAACAAATTGAGATAGAAGGCTAAATTTTTGCATACATGCATAGTTTACCAATAGGCAGGTTAAGTTCGTAAATCTGTCATGTTGGTCCATGTTTTTGTATAGCCCTGATATAACGGTACCTCCCGATATTCGGTATTTTCATGATTTTAGCGACATTATTTAACGGAATTATTAAAAATTCGTATTTGCAGTTCGTAATGGTTAGCCTATGACAAACATTTTTGTATGCAGGTTCAAGTCCTCGTATAGCCCCCATATAATGGTACCTCCCGATAGTCGGTATTTCGACGATTTCAGCAAAATTATTCAGTGGAACTTTTTCAAATTTCGCACTGGAAGATCCTAATGGGTACTACAACCTAAGACAGAAAATTGTCAGTGCAGGTCCACGTCTTTGTATAGCCTCCATATGACGGCACCTCCCGATTTTCATAATTTTTGCGACATTATTCGCCGTAATTGTAACAAATTTCGTATTTGAAGTTCACAATGGGCACTACAGCCTATGACAAAAAAAAAAAATCGTATACAGCCCCATGTCTTCGTATAGCCCCCATATAACGGTTTTCATTTAAGTGGGGTTTTGGGTTGTTTTAAAACTTTTCAGTTTCTTTCGAAATGGTGAAGGGTATTAAAAGTTCGGCCCAGCTGAACTTAACTGCTTTTTTACGTGTTTTAACTAAACTGGTTAGGAGTATTCTCCATAATCAATTTGATTGTTGAATCTATTTTTCGAGCAGGTTATAAAAATAACTCCTATTACGTATACCCACTACATTAAGAAGTTGTAAGACAAAGAACTATGGCGTTCTTTGTCAATATTGTCAATTTCATACTAACTTACTGGCGTATCTCTTTGTTAGAGTTGGCGTATTGGTTATCTGCAATCAAGTATCGTATTTGAATAGGTAAAGTTTCTTTTGTTTACATAAGTATTTTAGAACATAACAATGATCAAGTACATATAAAAATATATGGCTAAGAATTTGTCGTTACCCATTCAAATGGTACAGATTTTATTCGATCTCTATATTATACATCAAATGGTAAGTTAATTCCAGATTAAAATTATATAAAAAAAAGAAAATTTTCGAATCCGACAGAATTGTAACTACTTGTATATTTCTGTCTATATCTTTGGCAGCTTTCTGGGTGCATAAAAACAAAGTTTTCCATTTTCTCCATTACAAATCTATTTTGATTATCTATGTCTATTTTGTTCATGCCATTTTTGCATTTAATCGTACAAGACTTCTTAAAAATAAAGAAAGGAACCTATTAATATAACAAATTTTGTACATCTCATAAAAAACTAAAACGTAAATTAGTAAAATATTCTCTTATAAAATATCAGTAATCATTAAAAAACAGTGATAAAATCAGCTGAACATAAATTGTAATACAAAACAAAAAACAGTTAACAAAATAGTCATTGTATTACAAAAGATTAATACTAAAGCAAAATCTCTAAATATACGTGTAAAGTTAGAGAACACATTGATATAATATATATACTTACCTATAAGCATAAACCCGACTTTATTTTCTATTTTATTCTTCTATCAATCTACTTTTGTTCAAAACAACGAATCATGATCTTGTCTAAAAAAAAAACTAAAAAATATTTTTTTATAGAAAAATTTATTTGATTGCCAAAAGATTTTGAAACAAAATCTCCTATGTTTGTAAATTAATAAAACAAAATTCTAAATTTAATAAAAAATATTTGTTAACTCATTAAAAATTGTATTCGTTTTGGAAGAGAAGAAATTTTATTTACAGGATTTTTTATATACACATACATACATATATATTTGTATAATTTAAGATATCTTTTGTAAATGCATTTAAACATTTTTACATGCCTACACATCTCCAAAAATTGCATATACATATATATATATATTTACGTATAATTAGTTTGAAATATTTAAAATTTACTATTTTTACTACTCAATTATATAATTAATAAAAAATAAATAAATGTGTTATGTAAAGTTTTTGAATTAATAAAACATAACAATAATTATATAAAACCGTCTATAAAAAATCAATAGATATTTTGTTTAAGATAGGGAGTGGAAAGTTTTCTAAAAGGCATGTGCATGGTGGGGGTTTGGGGAGTGATCTCTTTAAGTTGAAGGGTACTTAGAAGCTCAGGAAGGAATTTCAATTTCGACTCAACTTTTAATGAACCAAAACAAGTAAAATGGACATTAACAGACAAGTCACAGATTCTGATTGGATTTTTTAAATATTTGTTTAATTTATTGAATCTTTCATATATTGTGATGAAAATAACAATAAGTTTTCATATCTTATATCTTGTTTCGAACAACTTTGAGAGTATAGATAGAAGACCGATGTGTCTGATTGGAGTTTGTTTTATCTTCATTAATTAGTGTAAATGTAGGAACATTAGAGGAATAATAGCATTAAAAACAAAAACCAATAAGATTAAAAAACACAGTTCAAGCTCAAATTGTGAAAAATATTATGTTTTCATACCAACTATGATCCAAATAACATTGCTGTGTAGTCCATATTATGACTTCGATAAGGATTATATTAAAAAATGTTTTGTTGTGCTTTTATGGTTGAAATAAAAGCCAATGTTTGTTAATACTAAAGGTGTAAAGATTTATTGGATGATGAGCGTTCACAGCTACTAATTTGAAAGGAATGAAGAAGTTACAATGTAGTGAGTCAGACTCGAGTGACAGACAAAACAAGACTGAGCAAGCTAAAATGGCGGTAGCACGGCGTCCTATTATGTGGGCGTTGCCGTATAGGATGTTGCGACATGAGATGCCATATTGTTAATGTGGGTTGCCCCAACATCTCCCTCCTTAAGATGAGAAGGTGATCTTGAAATAGGTTCGACTGGTTGTCTGCGACTTGTTATTCTTTGAGGTGTCCAGTTTGGTGAACCTGTTGGAGTTGCAAAATGTTCTTGATGGTTAGGCAAAGCGATTTCGAATTCTTTAAGTAGTACGTCCAATGGTAGTTTTTGTCGTTCTTGACTGCTTGACTCTACCGATTCTCTATGTCGAAGTTGATCAGTATGAGCTCGTACTAGAATTTTCCTGTCCCCAACGTCGATTAGAGTGTTGTAAATGACTTTCCCTTTACGCTCGACTATTTCGCCTGTTGTCCAGTAACTTTTGTTTCCTTTGAAGTTTCTGGCATAGACCAATTCTCCGTTGCTAAACTCTCTGTTTTTGGTACCGTGTTTGGTATTGTACTGCTGTTCCATTTTGTGATTGACGTTATACTCAGGCGATTGTTGCTTCCTTAGAACGTCGAAGACCGTTCTCATTTTTCTTCCGATGAAGGATTCTGCTGGAGACTTACCTTCTGGTGCATTTGGATTTGGTGTGGATCTGTAGACTTCTAGGAAGGTTTGGAGAGATTCCGTAGGCGTTTCTTCCCCTTCTAGTTTTTTTAATGCACGTTTAAGTGTATCAACGAAACGCTCGGCTTGTCCATTTGAACTTGGATGAAAACGAACAGTCCTTGTGTGTTTAATGCCTTTTTTGCTGCACCACTTCTCAAATTGTTCTGAACAGAACTGTGTTCCGTTGTCCGAGACCAATTGTTCAGGATTTCCGAAGAGTGCACAATATTCGTTTAACATTTTTAATGTTGCATATGTGGTTGTCGTTGTTGTCTCGTATATAACAGGGTATTTTGAATACGAGTCGATGATAAGAAGATAATATTTACCTTTTTCTGGACCAGCATAGTCTATATGTATCCTTTCAAGAGGGTGTGAAGTTAATGGCCATGGGCAAAGATTTGTTTTTACTGGACTTTTTGCCGCATGTTGACAATTTTTGCATTTCCGAACAAAGTCTTCAATTTGTTTGTCGATGTTTGGCCAATAAACATAACTTCTGGCGATGGCTTTGCTGCGTTCTGCTGATAAGTGTCCTCTGTGAAGTTGTTGTAAGATTTGTCTCTGATATAATTTAGGGATTACTATACGATTATTGAAGAGAATACAACCATCGAAGGTTGAAAGATTTTCCTTGCGGTTGAAAAATTGAATAATTGATGGGTTAATATTTTTCTTGCTTTCTGGCCATTCTGTTTGAATGTATTTGAGGACCATTTGTAAATCCGTGTCTTTTGTTGTTGCATCGACGATCATTTTAAATGATACTGGGAGAACTGACATAGTTTCATTTATCTCGTTACGTATGTCTTCTTCGAATGATATTGAAGCCACTATAAAGTCATTTGCTGGTTTTTCGTGATTGTTGACTTTTGTTTTGCACAGACCTGGGGTACTGTTATCAAAAACTGATTGATAATTCGTTTTCAATTCTGCTATTTCATCAACGAAGTTTATTTGATGACACCATGAGGTTATTGGTTTCTGCCATAGATTGAATGCTTGAATCCAATCGATTCCCATGATATTGAGTTTTTCGATATCTGTTATATAACATTTTAATGTTTTTGATGTTTTGTCGATTGTGACGTCACATTGAAATTCTGCTAGGAGCTTGATTGAATTTGCGTTTGCGTCGCTAGCGTTGTCAAAAGTTTCGTAGGCTTCAGGCTTACCTATAGCTTTCCATGTGTTGATAGATACAATTGATATGTCTGATGCAGTATCAATTTGAAGTTTTACAGGATTGTTGTTAATTAGGACAGTTGTGTATTTCCTTAAGTCGCGGAAATTAATGTTGTGTGTTTTGAAAACTGCCTTAGTTTTGAATGATTTCCTTGAATTGCTGTATTTCTTGAATTCGTTCTGGTTGTTTTCAGATGATGATTTGAAATTCTTACCAGTTTTAGCGATGTTGCAAAAGTTATTTTTATGACCCACTTGATTGCATGTTGTGCATTTATGTTTCTGGAAAGGACAAAATTTGACGTAGTGAAGGTCTCCGCAATACCAACAGGGTGAATTGGGTGTTTTGTGCTTCTTAAAGTCTTTTGCGTGCTTGTTGAGTGAACAGACGATTTTTGATTGATGTTCAATGAGAATGTTGTCCGATTTGAGATCTAGAATTCGTTGTGTTTCGTCTACTAGTTGATCTAGGTTCATTGTAGTGTTTTCATCATCCAGTACCTTTAGTAAGCGAAGTCTTATGTCGCTGTCCTTTGCTGACTTGAGTCCTAAGACGAAAATGAGACATTTGAATTGGTCGATTTTCAGTTCTTTCATTTTGAATAGTTCGCATTGTAGGTTTACTCTGCTTGCGTATTCTCTGAAATCTTCGCTGTCGCATTTTGCTAGCTGAAGGCATTTGTATCTTTGTGAGACTTGTGTTTCTGTTTTACCAAAGAGTTTCTTGAGTTTCTCTACTGTATCCTTTAGAGTCATGTCTTCAGGTTTTGCTGGTAATACGTAGTTGGCAAATCTTTCATGTACTTGGTTCGACATTTTTCTCCATAACAAGGCCACTTTGTCATGTTCTTCGAGTGAGCTTGCTTCTTTTTCGAAAACATGCACAAACCTGTTGTACCACGCTTGAAATATCAGACCGCTCTCTGGCTCGTATACGAATGCTGTCATTGACTGTGCTAGTGATTCCATTAGTGCTGCTTTGGATGAATTTGATGTTTGTGGTGAGTGTGGTGAATTTGGTGCTCCTTGTGCTTGAAGAAGATCAGCCATATGCTTTAGCAGTTGCGTTTGTTGCGACATTGCTTTTTGTTGCTCTGTTAACAATTGTAGAATTATGTCTTGAGACATTTTTGCGGATTGTTGTGTGTGCAATTATTGATCAATTTCTGTCGTTCTGTGGGTTGCCCCAACATGTTTATTGAGCAATATATATATATACCGGACCGCGTTTCACCAAATGGTAGTATTCGGTTGAATATGAAATAATCTATTCAAATTTGGGCTGATATTAGATGATTTAAGTGATATGTGAAGATGTATATCGATTTATGATGCCGGGTATCAAATATCATTGTTGAGGAGTGCATATTATGCATGTGAAAAAAAATCGTATACAGGGTGAGATGAAAAAACTGCAACCAACTTCAGACCGCTGTCATTTCTAAGCCACTCGTCCGACAGCTGTTAAAATTATTCCAGTGACCATAATAACAGCATTTTGATGAGAATTTCCAGAAAAGCAGAAATGGTTCGAAAGTGGCTTAATCGAAACCCGCGTCGCAGTGGCCGAAAATGGCTCGTGAGATAAACATATCGCAATATTCCATACGGCAAACATTGAAAAATGAGCTCGGGGTAAAGCCATTGAAATTCCAAAAAGTGCAAAAACTTACACCGCAAAGAAAGAAAATAAACTCAAAAGAGCTAAAGAGTTGTTTCGCTTGCCCGAAAGTGGCGAACTGCCTAATTTGGTTTTCTTCGATGAGAAAACATTCGTTGTCCAGCAGTTTGTAAACAAACAAAATGATCGTGTTTACTTGCCAAAGAGGTCAGCTGAAAATGAGCACATTCGGTAGGCCACCAGAACTCAAGCACCGGTCATGGTGATGGTGTAGGCGGCCATAACAGCCGATGGTAGCTCTCCGCTCGTATTAATCGACCGTGGCATCAGAATAAATGCCGAATATTATTGCGAAAATATTCTGGAGGGTGTATTAAAGCCTTGGGCACGCAAACATTTTGGTCGCAGACCTTGGACATTCCGGCAGGACTCAGCACCATCGCACTCAACAGGCGCCACCCAAGAATGGGTACAAAATGAGGTTCCTTGCTTCATTTCCAGCGCATAATGGCCACCAAAATCTCCGGATACCAATCCGTTGGACTATTGTGTCTGGAGTATTTTGGAAAGCTAGGTTCGCACTAAAAAATACCAAAGTGTCGTTCGCCTTAAGCAAGCGCTACGAGGGAATGGGCAGAGCAACATTCGGACAGCGTGTGACGGCTATTCTTTTCCCGTTTAAATACCATAATTCGTACTGTTGATGAGTCAAAGATTGGGAAGAGTAGGAAGTATCATCGTGGACATGCGGTTGAAGGGCAGTGGGTTTTCGGTGGTGTTGAGCGGTCAAGCAATAAATGTTATATTATACCAGTGGATGATCGTTCAAAAGAAACCCTACTACCGCTCATAAAAAAGTATATTAGATCTGGTTCCATAATGGTGTTCGATTACTGGAAGTATTGATTTCCGCTTTAATTAGGATAACAAAACCTACCTTCGGTAATAATTTCATAATTTTCCGCCAGTTGGAGCTAAACTCTATTTGTTCCAAAATATCTATACTTTTTTCTATTTTTAATTTTCAAACAATTAATTTTGCAAATACTCGAGTAAATGCATGGTAAAATTAAGAAGGTAAAGCCATTTTAAATAAGCATACCCATCTCTGCATTTTCTGTAATTTACCTTGTCATATTTCACTGCATAGAAAACAGGTTCCATCTCTGATTTGTGTGACAATTAGATGTTGTCAAATGAATAATTTTGAAAAAATTGCAAGCATATGATTGCATGACTTTACCTTTTTAATTCTACCATGTATTTACTCATAATAAAGGTAAAGCCTTCCAATGATATGTAACAATTTTTTTTCAAAATGATTCATTTGACATCTCATTGTCAAAATGTTCCATCCATTGTATACACACAAATCAGAGATGGGAACCTGTAGAGAAATTTGACAATTTTACCATGAGTAAATGTATACGTAAGAAAAAAATCCATGGCAGAAGAATGTAGGTAGACGCATCGACACAGCTGCTGGAACAATGAACTGTCAAACCAATTTTGGAATTGAAAATGTTGAATGAAAAATTATTTACGTTTGTAAAAATTGTTGAAAGTGGCGTATCGTAATTACCTCTGAAAGATGTCGTATAAGAAAACATATAACAATTTAGGTATATTTGAAAAGACATTTAATATGTTTTGACATATCAATGTTCCCAATGTTACCGACAAATTTCGTCAATTACCGAAATTATAAGCAGTTTAATTTTACCGATTTTTTTCGGTAACTCAAAAATGTATTAGAGAATCGCACCACTGACTGACATTTTATATCATTTAAAATTAGTCCAAACAAGTAGTCGTATTTTATTTTGTTGCATTTCATTGGTAATTCATAATTTTTGGAAATTAAATTGATACCATGGTACAATAAAAAGGTAAGGTAGAGCTCCCAGCTGACTACTGTCAATTTTGTGAATGTATTTGTTGTTTTGAAAAATAAAAAAAAATTCAAAATCAATGATTGGAAGAAACATAAGATACGGGGCGCGCATTAAAATTTTTAACCAGATTTGCCATGGAATTAAAAGATTGAACAATTAGAATCATATTTTTGAGAGAACTTCCAGGCATTTCATTCATCTTTCAAGCTATTTGAATCATTTTAGAAATGAATAAAAAATACCAAATAAATGAAAACAACTTTTTGCCTATAATTTTGAATAATTCTGACAGGAAGCGGACATAGCCTCAGGGCTGTATTTCTGTAGTTTTACGAAGCTGTTCTACCTCCTTATTGCACCATGATTGATACTTCTATTTTTCAACAAAACAAGAGCACTTTAGGTGAGAATACATAAAATGCTTTTTAAACAAATCTTTTTCTTTTTAATTTAGGCTTATCGAAGAAGTATAGAAACCAAAAGTTAATACAAATATCCAAAATATTTGCAATACTCAAAATCGACATAACAGCCAATCGGAATCAAAATCTTGTCAAAATTTGATTGGTAAAAAGCATAGCCTAAGGTTGGCCAGTAAGTTCATCTGACAAATAAGTTTGCTGTCAAAAAACATAATTGTGACTTATGAGCAGCGCTGCTCAAGAAAAAAAGCCCGCTCACCAGTCAATTTCTCTTTGCTTTATTGTTAAGTATTAACTTAAAAACAGTTGAAATAAATCGTAGAGTATAACGAAAAACAAAATATTAATTTTACATTTTTAACAAAATTCTTATATAAGGAATATCAACATAATTCAATCTTAGATAGAAGGACAATAACATTTGTTCGTCGAAAATATGCATTTATTTTTCAAATGAAATAATTTAAATTTTTGTATATTTTATTCGAACCAATACACAAAATATCTATATGTTTTGACAGAATAAAGGTGTGAATACATAAAACGCTTTTTTGGCTTCTTCGGAAAAGAACAAGGGAGCGTAAGGCAAAAATTTAAATAAGTCAACCTAAAGGTCCTTTGTTCCTCTACGAAAAAGCCAGCCGATGATTTAAGCCAGTCAAAAGGCCTTTTTGTACTCTCACACATGGTACAAAAAATGGAAGGTAGAGCTACCAGCATATTACAATTTTTTTCTAAAGGGCCAAGTACATAAGAATCTTGAAGTCATGGCTAGGCATATTAATGTCAAATTATAATGGAAAACGACGGCTGGATTTTAGAGCGGCTCTGTAATCCCTTTGTGAAATGTCACAAAATATGCATAGCCATGACTTCAAGCTTCTTATGTACTTAAGCTGGAAATACATAAGGCTGGAAATACATAAAGAGCATATTTGGCTGGCTTAAGTCATCGGCCGGCTTCTTCGTAAATGAACAAAGGAGGTTTAGGTTTGTTCATTTCCGAAGAAGCCAGCCGATGACTTAAGCTAGCCAGATAAGCGCTTTATGTATTTCCACCCTTAGCCCTTTAGCCCTTAAGTGTGCCCGACTTCTGCCAATTTTGTGTATGTATTTATTTATTGTTTTGAAAAATGAAATTCAAAACCAATGATTGGAAGACACGTACATTGCGGCTTGTGCATTAAAGATATTAACTAGTTTAGCCATGAAAATGAAAGATTGGACAGTTTGGATCATATTTTTAAGAGAAAATCCAGGCATTTCATTAATTCGCATTATTTAACTCAGATTAAAAATGAGCAAAAATATGAAAAAAGAATTAAAACAACTTGTTGTATATAATTTTGAATGGGTCTGACGGGAAGCGGGCATAGCCTTAAGGGCTAAGTACATAAGAAGCTTGAAGTCATGGCTAGGCATATTTTGTGACATTTCACAAAGGGATTACAGAGCCGCACTAAAATCCAGCCGTCGTTTTCCATTATAATTTGACATTAATATGCCTATCCATGGCTTCAAGCTTCTTATGTACTTAGCCCTTTAGGACTGTATTTCTGTAGTTTTACGAAGCTGTTCCACCTCCTTATTGTACCATGCTCTTACCTTACTTAGTCGGCTGGCTTCTTGGGAAAAGAACAAAGGAGCGTAAGGCCAAAATTTGGCTAAGTCAACCTAAAAGTTCTTTGTTCCTCTACGAAGAAGCCAGCCGATGAATTAAGACAGTCAAAAAGCCTTTTACTTTGTAAAAAAACGTTCTTCAACTAAAACACCACTAAAAATTCACCGTTCATTGAAATTTCCGTTAGCGATCGCCGTTGGCCTCAATGCCTAGTATTGAACGGCGTCGGCCACACGTGGCATTGACTTTGTACTCGTGCAAAATACTCGGCAATAGCCAATTGAAAATTTCTGAATAGGAGACTTGGGTAAAAATAACACCAAATTCTATTGAAAAATTACGCGGAATACTGAGAATTTTGTTGCTTTAAATAATAAACATTGGTGACCAGTGAAGAAAAGTAATTTTTAAGAGAAACTATCCGAGTTTCATTGGAGGAAATCCCAATACTTTTCTGCTACACAATCTCTCACCAACACACAAAGAACAATATATCACACACAACCAGCCAAACATTTGTACAACGCACGTCGCAAAGGAAAGAAGAAAGCAGCAGCAGCAAAGCAAGATAACAAAGGCAGTTTTTCGCAATAAACAACGCTCGCTCTGTGGACAAGAAAAATTGCATTTTCCACAAAACAGTAGATAAATAAACGCGGAAATAACAAAGCATTTTCAGCGTTTTCTTAAACAGAATAAAACAACAAAAAGCGAATTTACAATAATGGATCGTGGGTAAGTTGACAAGTGAAATTTATTGAAATTTGCATTTATTTTTGGCGAAATATGTACACATTTTTGTTTTAAGGGAACTACTTCTGTTTGGGGCATTCCACCGCTACAGATGTAGACATTGACGAATGCAATTTAGGGTAAATAACAAAGAACCATGTTATCGAATGCTACTGAAAATTGTGCCAAGGTCTTTGTATATGTTTCTTTCTTTCGACACAAAAAAAAAAAAAAACAAGAGGGCATCCGCCACTCACTCGCACTCTTAAAAATTAGGGCCATTTTTGGTGCCTCGTTTCGAAGGGGCTTCGTTTACACTTGTTTTGCTCTGATTATTCGGTTAGGGAGGGAGGGAGGCGGTATGTTGTGTTATGTGCGATGGGTTGGAATAGCTAAACTGTTCAGGGAGATACATTAAGGTATGTTGTATTTGCTTGTAATGCTGTTGAATTTTAGGCTTAACTCTAGTTTAGTAAAAACTCTTCAATTTTTTCGAAAATTTTTTCAGTGGTAGGTATTTTATCCATGATCCCGGGAAACTATTTTTTTCTTGGGGGACGGACCTGGGACCCCAGATTTTTGACCCGAAAGTCCGGGTTCGAGACCCCGACTAGACCCGGATCCACTTACCCGATATAGACAATATCGGTATCGTTGGAAAGCTTATGGAAATACCTATCCAACAAGTGGTCACATGAAGGGGTAAGTTGTCATGGTTCGGAAGTTATAGTCAAATTATCGATTTTTTGGACCCGGATTTTTTATGAAACCCCCAAAAAGTCAAAAAAGGGCCCATTATGGGGGACAACAGAATTGATGCCAAATTATAGCTGACACTTCTACCTTTCCAAAAAGGTTGAATTTGTGCTAATACCTTTACTGAGTCCAGAGATATGGGTCTTTCCATCCGCATAACCCGATTTTAACCAGTTCATTTTTGGGGGTTTCATAAAAAATCCGGGTCCAAAAAATCGATAATTTGACTATAACTTCCGAACCATGACAACTTACCCCTTCATGTGACCACTTGTTGGATAGGTATTTCCACAAGCTATCAATCGATACCCATAAAAGAAAAAAATAGTTTCCCGGGATCAGGGTAAAAATACCTACCTCTGGAAAAAATTTCGAAAAAATCTAAGAGTTTTTACTAAACTAGAGTTGTTCCGAATTTTATAATTAGAGTGTAAGAGGTGATAGTAGTATGATGGTATATTTTTATAAATCCTCATTAAGAGACCTTGTAATGGTATCCCTCAACGGCACCGCGCATTGTTTTCGTTTTATTTTTGTTCTTACTTTCTTTTTGTATTGTATTCTAATATTCCGTTTGCGCCACATTTATGCATGTTATTCGGTCTCGCTTGATACATGCCGCAAATACATATGTATATTATCTATGTACATATATATTGCATGGTATCAATTATTAGAGATCATGTAATTTTATTGATTGCACACACCACCGACCTTCCTAGTGAGTGCTAGGCATGCAATGTTTTGAGTAAATAAAAAACTTATTTGTTGATGTTTGTTGTTTAGTGCATTTGTTTCCTATTTTCGGTAATTGTTAATGGGTATAATGGAGGTGTTAGGCGAACGTGTTAAACTTTATAATGTATTAATTGGTATGCATTGAGAGTTGGTCCATTATAGGGTAAGTGCACCAGTTTTCGGCACTTGTGGAATTTTCTTATTTGTTTATCTTTAGACCTTGGGAGGACACATTTTCAACTGCAATGAGATTAAGTTATATTGCTTCAATATTTTATATATATATTTTATTTCTTTACTAATTTTTCAATGTTTTATACGTACCACACAGGATACAACTTGGAGAGGTTGTATTCAAGATTGTATCGTTTGTGGGCCGGTTGTACAAAGTTGCGTATAATAATGTGTTTGGGCCAACCATAGCAATATTATTTTTGCTATATTAAAAGATTTGTTTGCTGGAACATACAAACACAAACGAACTGCCATTAAAGAGTGTAAATTCCAATGGTTTCTTTCAAAATACTCAAAATGCAGAAAGTATCAAATGAAATTTTCAGCTTCAAACTTTTTCCATTCGAACGAATTCCCGTACATCCCATCGCTTTGCAAAGAAACCCACCGTTTAAAACACTGCAAGTTTTCATTTCCATATGGCGCCATTCCTGGATGATAAATAAGTTCTCAAACTCAACTGTAGGTCTTACAGGGTGAGATGAAAAACTGCAACTAACTTCAGACTGCTGTCATTTCTAATCCACTCGTCCGATAGCTGTTAAAATTATTCCAGTGACATCTCATTTTATTGTGTACAAGCGTACAAAAGCATTTTGGTAAGAATTTTCCAGAAAAATAGTTATTCGTGATGGAATTCAAGCGTGATAGTGTGACTTCTTTATATTTGGCTGGAAAGCCACAAGTGGCTATCGTTAGAGCACTCCAGCATTTAAATGTGAATAAATCTTTTGTGTCTCGTACCATCGCTTGTGGTCGGAACAAAACAGCAACGTCAGCAGAAATGGTTCGAAAAGTAAAGAAGCGACTTGAATGGTCTGTGAGCTGGACATATTACAATATTCCATTCGGCAAATATTCAAAATTTAAAAACTTACACCGCAACAGAAAGAAAATAGACTCAAAAGAGCAAAAGAGTTACTTCGCTTGGCCGAAAGTGGTGAACTGCTGAATTTGGTTTTCTTCGATGATAAAACAATCGTTGTCCTGCAGTTTGTAAACAAACAAAATGATCGTGTTTACTTGCCAAAGAGGTCAGCTGAAAATGTGCACCTTCGGTTGGCCACCAGAACTGCGCCGGCCATGGTGATGGTGTGGGCCGCCATAAAAGCCGATGGTCGCTTTCCGCTCGTATTAATCGACCGTAGCATCAGAATAAATCCCGTTAAAGGCCTGGGCACACAAACATTTTGGCGGCAGAACTTGAACAATCCAACAGGACTCAGCACCATCGCACTCAGTACGCGCCACCCAAGTATGGTTACAAAATGAGGTTCCTCGCTTCATTTCCCGCGCACAATGTCCACCAAAATCTCCGGATACCAATCCGTTGGACTATTGGGTCTGGAGTATTTTGGAAAGCAAGGTTGGCACTAAAAGATGCCAAAGTGTCGATCACCTTAAGCAAGCGCCTCGCCGGGAATGGTCCAAAATACCGCAAAACAACATTCGGGCAGCGTGTGACGGTTTCATTGGCCTTTTGAAAGCCATAATTCGTACCAAAGGTGACCAATTCGAACAAGTTTTTTTTTCTCACCCTGTATATGACGTACATTCCTCACTTTCATAGACTGGATTAATTATTCGACATTTATTTATATTAGAATATTTATAGGTCGGGGAGATGGAAGGTAAATCTGTTTATATCCATAGCTTCCTCGTGAAGTTCACTCAGTAGCCGAATCGTCAAATTAATTCGCAGAGGTACTTCCATTTAATATTTAATGGATCTTAGATTTCGCTTCAAGAAGGCAGCAATCTTTTTAACCGACCTTTCGTTCGATAGCATTAGCGAGCCATTTTGTATCAACAATTTTAAATTCTGATCCTTTCTCTCCAACAAAATCTGACCTTCTAATGGATCTTATAAACAGCCACGCCAACATTATGACGTCCAGATAGGGAAATATTTCAAGGAAGAAAAAATATGACTGGGCAATTTCTAAAACTAGTTTGTGAACAATGAGTTTGATGTTGTTGCAGCATGGGGCAACTTTATCCTTTTCGCTATAGTCTCGCACGTAATAGTTTCTGAAATGTACTTTCCCTTCGAATCTATTGCATTGATAGGAAAAACATCTGGGTAACATAAAAGAGCCATCGATCGGTATTTTGTTCAAACCTGGCATAGACCAAAGCAAAAAAGCGTGCAGGCGTTTTAATCTGGAAAAGGTACCTGGTCAAACCTAGCATAGTCTTTAGATGTGTTATATCTTTTTCATAAATACTTGCAATTCAAATTGATATTGTCATTATCTCATTCTTTCTTTCTTTCTTTCAGTTCCGGACGCTACTCATACAACCGCCGTGAAGGAGGCGGTGGACAGCGTGGTGGCAATAATGGTGGTGGACACAATCAACACCATAATAACCATTCTAATTCATCCCTATCATCATCCTCCTCATCATCACTGTCGTCATCATCAAATAATCATAACAACAATCACTATGATAATCATAATTCCTACAATTCACATCGTAATACAAGTAATAATTCTTCGTCACATTATTCAAATAATTCGCTACAAAATAATTCATCATCGTCGTCGATGTATGCAAATACCACCACACATATAAGCAATAACATAACATCCTCAGCCCGCGAACCGATTACACAGCATGATGAGCTCATACACTATATAAGGGAAGCATGGACAAAAGTATGTTCACTTTAATGTTATTGTCTTAAATATTCTTTATTAATTTACTCGATTTCCTTTTCTCCTACAGGTTAGTGAACAAAGTACATCTGTTCTATACAACGATACCGATAATCAATTAAAAAACTTTGAACCATTTAACTTGGAAGAGTATTGGGGCAAACGACTGGTTCAAAATATACACATTTCTTCCCATGGACATCAATAAGAAGTCTCCATTTGAAATAACACATCCCCACAAACACACACACACTCTCTCTGTCAGAAAAGAAAGGTGTTTTAGACAACATTAATATATATTTAATTGCAAACAAACAAAAAGAAAGAAAACATTTTTTGACAAGAACACAATTATCTTAGTTGGCAAATAATTGAAGTAAATAGAAAACAACAACAACAACTTTGATAAATTCCACGTAAATATAACACACAGATACGAAAACTAAAACACAATCAATCCCCAGAAATTTTCTTCAAACTCCCCCTCAAAAGAAACAATATTGTATACCAACAAGAAGATATAAACAAGCAAAGAAAAAAACTTATAAAAATAATTATTCAAAAAGGAAGTTTGAATTATATACAGGGTTACATTAAATTTTCATTACTAATTTGATGATATTGTTTTCCGGAAAATCCAAGTAAATAACGCAATCATACACAAGTTTGCATTGCGTCTAATGTATATATAAATGTTTTTTTATTAATTATATACCCACTCTTTTTTTATAAATACATGACAACATGTAATGTAAATGCATTTTATTGGGTTTCAAGCATTTGTTGCATTGCGCATGCGCATTCAAATCAAATTTAAACTGCCATATTGCAAATTTACAAACTGCAAATTTTATTCTCGAATTGTTTTGTGTTTCTGGACCCTGTATATAATTTATATCTCGCTGTTTATGTAAGCAATAGTATATTAGAATATAAATAACACCAATATTGACCATATGAAACATAAAAAACCCATACAAGTGGTATATTTACTTTTTGAAAATTGTTCGTTAAACACTCTCTTCTATCAGACCATGTTAATTTAAGCAACCCAAAACCCTAGCTCCCGGGCTAACCATTCCTTTTCTATACAGATTACCCTTTTTATTTTGTCTATCGTTTATCTCTTTTTTATGTGTGGAGAAATGTCCTCTATTTAATCTTGTTTATTTTTTATGTTTTATGGCTTCACTTTTGTAAACGTATTTATTAAAAAGAAAAACAAACAAAAAATTTTAAAAGAAAAACGTTTTTATTTTCTATGATTTTTCGTTTCGTTAGCGACTTGAGTAATTGACAATTATTTTATGCTTTGTAATCACTTGTAAAGTATAGGCATAATAAGTAAAATTAGATCATAAAGTTTGGGGTCTTCGAAATCGTAATTTTTTGGTAATGGACACCGTATTATAATGTTTTTCATCCTTTTACTATTTAGAAAATATGTTTAAAAATAAAAAAAAACGTACGTTTGTCTCGGACAAAACAATTTCATTGTTTAATTGTAAGAAACGAATGATTTGCACATATCAGAGGACAAGTTCAATTCGTGATTTAAACGCAATTGGAAATTATGGGTTTCCAGTTACCCAACAAATAATTTCATAACAAATGACCAAATGATTCATGTTTGGACGGATGAAATAAATAGCAAAAAACTTCTGGCGGGCCGAACTTTGAATACCCTACATCATTTGGAACGAATTTGGCAATTCTCAAAAACAATAAAATCCGTAAAAAATTCTGTTAAAATCTTAAATATACCGAATGTAGCTGTTATATTAGGTTCTATACGACATGGACCTTCATAGGTAACTTTTGTCATAAGCCATTGCAATATTAAAATGCGAAACTTAAAAAAATCGGTGAATAATGTAGCTAAAATCATCAAAATACCGAATATCGGGAGGTACCGTTATATGGGGGCTATACGAAGTCGTGGGCTTGCAAAGACTATGTTCTGTCTTAGGCTGTAGTATTCATTACCAACTTCAAATACCAAATTTGGAACGATTCCGGTGAATAATGTCGCTGCATGGTACAATAAAAAGGTTTTTTTTTGTAAGTGGTCCCGACTACTGAAAATTTTTTGTATGTATTTATTGTTTTGAAAAATGGAAATAAAATATTTTCAAATCCAATGATTGGAGGACACGTAGACTTCGGCTCGCGCATTAAAGCTGTTAAACAAGTTTAGCCATGATATTGAAAGATTGAACAGTTTGGATCATATTTTTGAGGGAAAATCCAGGCATTTCATTCAGTTTTCGCGCTATCTGACTCATTTTAAAAATTAAAAAAAATATAAAAAAAAATTGCATATAATTTTGATTGAGTCTGACAGGAAGCGAGTATAGCCTGAGGGCTGTATTTCTGTAGTTTAACGAAGCTGTTCTACCTCCTTATTGTACCTTGCACTTAACTTTTAACAACATTTTGACAATAGACTTAGTAGTTTTTGCACTATTGTGATTTTCTTTGAATTTCAAATAACAATTTTTGACAGCAAACTTGGTTGTCAGAATACCAAGAAGATTAAATTGACAAACTTTGTAGTTATTACACAAACATTTGTAAGATATCAACTGATCTATCAAAACAACTTCGGCGCAAATCTTAAATAAAATCTGAAAAATAAAAAAATATCGTACTGGCAATTTCTGGCAATTCATTTTTTATTTTTATACAAAAATTTAATTTAAATTTTCAGAAAAAGCAATGACGAAAAAGAAAAATTGGTGAAAATAATTGCATTAAAAAGCAGGTGGCAAGTTCAAAAGAGAATTATAAAAATTGCCGCTAGTAAACTAGCCTAGTATAAGCCAGGACTTAATCAGCAATGTTCTGTTCCAGAACTGCAAGAATGTAAAAGATTTTACTACGATAACCGATTTTCCTTTATGATATCGGAGAAAATTGCAAAACTAGTAGATTCTTTCAGGTTCTGGAACAGACCACATGTTGACAATGCAAACGTGTTGAGAGCCACCTGCATAAAAAGATACAACTAACATTCCGAAGTAAAGAAGTACGGGAACGGAGCTCATCATGATACCATCCATCATTTATTTTTTTTGTTTTGTCTTTTTTATTTCTTGCCGACCAAATCGATTTACATATCCCTATTATTCGGTTATCATTCCTTGTGAATGTCCCCTGTTAGTTAATTTTTTGACATTTCATTAATTTCGTAGTCTTCTTCATTTTTCTTCATTGACATTCTTATCATTCACACGTGCTGTTTACGTTTGTTTTTTACTTCGAAAATAACATTTAAAATCCATTAAACTCACAAAAAATGGATAAAATCAAATTACAAAGTCATTATAGCGATGACGATCAATACGAACCCACCGATTCCGATGAAGATTATAGCGAAGAAGAGAAAGAATTATTGCAAGAAGTGCGAAAAGGTCGGGTCCGGGATAAATCTAAACAGAATGAGGTACTGGCTTTTACAGAATCCGAGGAGGAAGAGGATGATGATGATGGCGCCGATGCCGGTGACGATAATGAGGAGGATGAAGATGAAATGGGTTTGGCTGACAGTGACATAGAAGGAGCTGAACAGAATGAAGATGATTTACCCGACACAAAATATTGGGGTAAAAAATCCAGTGCCTACTACAACACCGATTTTGTTGATCAGGATTACAGCACTTACAATGAGAAGGAAGAGGAGCTTGCACAATTGGAGGGAGAAGAAGCCAAGGCCATACAACTGCGTCTGGCCAAACAACTTAAGGAGGCCGACTTTGAATTGGATGATACCTTTAAAAAATTAAAAAAGAGCAAAAAGGCGACCGTCGCAGATGAAGAGAAAAGTACATTGCTTAAGGCTGATTTCTCTGGACTAAGTAAGAGAGAGCGCTTGGAATTATTTGAGAAGGATTCTCCAGAATTTGCTGGTCTCGTTGGTGACTTCGAAGGTTATTTGGAAGAGGTACAACAATTACATGCTCCCGTTTTGAATTATGTTCGTGAAAACAATGTGCCCATGATTCCGGCTTTGCAATTTGCCCAACATTATCAAAATATTGCTTTGACATATTGCAGTAATTTGGCTTTTTATCTGTTATTAAAAGCCAATAGATCCTCCATACAGAATCATCCAATTATCCAGAGATTAATGCAATTGAAAAAGCTGCTCAACCAATTGAATGATAAACATGAAAATATCATAAAACCACAATTGGAAGCACTTTTGGAACGTATACAAGATGGTGATGTATTTGAGGTATTGGAAATGAAAAAGGAAGAGCCCAAACAGGATCAAGGTAGGAAGACGAAACGTGTAAAGAATCAAGGCAAGTTGGGTATATTGTCGGGACTGGATGACACTGAAGAAGAACCCAAAAAGAAGAAATTGAAAACAAGAGATCATGATGATGATGACGACGAGGAAGATGATGCACAAGATTTAGCAACCTTGGCCCAAATGTCATCAGACGACGACGATGATGATGGAGGAGAAGATGCCCAGGACGGGGAGGAAGAGTATGAAGAAGGTGAAGATGGCGAATCTCGCCGTGGTATCACATATCAAATTGCCAAGAATAAGGGTCTCACACCACATCGTAAAAAGGAACAGCGTAATCCTCGTGTCAAACATCGTGGTAAATATCGCAAGGCACTGATACGACGCAAGGGTGCCGTACGCACAGTACGCAAAGAGACCTCACGTTATGGTGGTGAAATTTCTGGTATTAAGGCCACCGTTAGTAAGAGTATTAAGTTTAAGTCTTAATTTGATAAATATGTAATGTAAATATAATTTGTTATATTTTATATATATCTCTAAATTAGTAAAAAAATAAAGAAGATAATTAAAACCTAGCGAATTTATTAAGACTAGTCCGAGGGAAAAAAACACTTTTTAATGGGATTGTCTGAAATCCTACACAAGGAGTTCTCTGTGAGTACTTCACCCCCTGAAAGAGAATTTTCTATAAGGTCCGCGATATCGTATAGCCCCCATACAATGGTGCACCTCGATATTCGTTATTTTGATGATTTTTACCACATTTTTCAATGGACTAGTCCGCAAATCCACACAAGGAGTTCCCTCGGAGTACTTTACCCCCTGGAAGAGAATTTTCTATATAGGTCTACCTTACGTTATGACATTATTCACCGGAATTTCGTATTTGAAGTTCGTAATCACTACTACAGCCTATCACAAAAAATTACTTATCCAGCACCACGTCTTCTGCCACTCGTCCAACAGCTGCTTAAATTATTCCAGTCATTATTGTTGTTTACAAGCGTACAGAAGGATTTTGGTGTCAATTTTTCAGAAAAAAAGTTATTCATAATGTAATTCAAGCAAGATATTGTGATTTCTTTATATTTGGCTGGAAAACCACAAGTGGCGATCGTTAGAGCACTCCAGCATTTAAATGTGAATAAATCTTTTGTGTCTCGTACCATCGCTCGTTACAGTGATACTGGTAGCGTAGCCAGGAAGTGGACGGAAGAAAACAGCAACATCAGCAGAAATGGTTCGAAAAGTACAGAAGCGACTTGATCGAAACCCGCGTCGCATTGGCCCAAAAATGGCTCGTGAGCTGAACATATCGCAATTTTCTATTTGGCAAATATTGAAAAATGAGCTCGGGTTAAAGTAATTGAAATTCCAAGAACTTACACCACAGTAGAAAGAAAATAGACTCAAAAGAGCTAAAGAGTTGCTTCGTTTGGCCGAAAGTGGTGAACTGTCGAATTTGGTTTTCTCCGATGAGAAAAAAATCGTTGAAAGCAAACAAAGTGATCGTGTTAACTTGCCAAAGAGGTCAGCTGAAAATACGCACCTTCGGTTGGCCACCAGAACTTAAGCCCCGGCCATGGTGATGGTGTGGGCCGCTCTCCGCTCGTATTAATCGACCGTGGCATCAGAATAAATGCTGAATAGTATCCCGAAAATATTCTGGAGGTGTATAAAAGCCTTGGGGCACGCAAACATTTCGGCCGCAGACATTGGAATTCCAAGAGGACTCAGCACGCGCCACCCAAGAATGGATACAAAATGAAGTTCCTCGCTTCATTTCCAGCGCACAATGGAAAAAAACTATATATTTATCATCAAAGAACAATTTCGATTTCACAAATCAAGCCGGTTTCCATTTAAAAATTGAAGGTATTCATTTTGTCTAAATTAGTTAAAATTTAGACATCATTTATTACCCACCAAACTACCAACACATGAAGTGCATATTGGTCAATTTTTAAGAACAACTGACTGACTTGCTTCATCTCTGCATTTGTCAAATTAAATAAAAAATATAATAATTCATAATTCTCTAATCAAAAACATCCTCACTATCTTTTTGACTTATAAATTCCTATTACCATTCTCCAAAGCCACATAAAAACTCATCATTTCTTAAAACACTAACATTTTTCCATCCATTTGTTTATTTTCATCATTTTGCTTGTTGTTGTGTGTGTGTTTGTGTAAAATATAAAAAAAACATGCTTCTCTTCTGGAAACGCTGTCCAAGCGTTAATATTTTTTAATTTTCTTGGAAAAAACTAAACAAACGAACTTTACAAGATGATGATGTACATACTAAATCATAGTTGGAGGCAAAATAATAGCAACCAAATCCAGATGTTTAGATCATTTTGCGAAGCAGTTTGTTGATCTTGTCTTCACGGTTACCGAAGTCACCACCATCAACGTAGTGGTTAGCCTTCTTGCGCCAGCCGCCAGTGGGGGTGTTCAATTTGAAGGGCCACAAGAAGTTGGAAGCGTGCTTGAATTTAGGACCAACGGTGAAGATTTCATGTACCAAATCTTCGACGCATTGAATGCCATGAGCTTGACGCATCTTACGTTCAATCACGAAGTTATCGGTGATTGGGACACGTTGACGGTTGTGCTTGACGAAACCACGTTTGTAGATCAATTCGCGCACCGACTTCAAGTTGGGGTAGCCCCAGGTAATGTAGGGTTCGGCAATACGCAACATGTTGATGGTAGCCTTGTTCAATTTAATGAAGACACCATTGTTGATTTGACGCAAACGGAAGAGTTGCAAGACCTTACGGACCTTAGGGGCAACTTTGTTGATACTGAAATATAAGTAAAGACAGTGCGTTAGACAGGTAAACAAATTGTATGGTGATGGCATGACAATGTAAGGTTATGTTTATAAACAACAAACCGACAATCATGTGGAATGATATTCTAAACACTCTGATATCATTTAAACACAAAGGGGGAGGGCGGGCACAACCTTACTTTGCCTCCAACATTGTATACATTCCGGTACTGGGTGCAACACTTACCCGCGAATACGGACAACGAAAGCCAATTTAGCTTCAGCGGGGACATAGAATTGACCACGGCTCTTGGCCAAACGACGCAACTTGATTTCACGTCTGTCAGCCTTAATGTATTCACTTTGGTATTTTTCAGCACGTACCAAGTTTTCACGTTTACGCAAGGCAATGACGGCAGCGCGTTTCAACTTCCTCTTGGTTTCGAGGGCACGTTTGCTCAATTGCTTCTTGCTGAACTTCAATTTAGATTCAGGCACAACTGGGAGCTTTTTAGCTCCGGTTTTCTTTGCGGCCGTGGCAGGCATCTATATGGAGAACACATTTTATCTGATTAATAACGGTAAACATATTTAATATGCACCAATTTTCGGCAAAAACATTAAAATCTTCACTAACCTTTACTTGTCACAGTGCACGTTGAAAGAGAAAAGGAAAAGGCAAAAGGAAGTTGTTTTCAATGTTGTCAGTACTGCGGAAATGTTGTCAGCCCTGATGAATACAACACTGTGTATCCGAAAACTGTTCTACAAAGTAGTTAGCGGAAACGTAACGTAGTACTGGGACTTAGGTATTTTAAGCTTATTATATCGCTTCTTATTTAAAAAAATGTGGAGATAAAAAAGGAAAATATTTTGCTTGCATATGTATTATACAGCGTGTATTATACAACGAGTAATTGTTTCAAAAACAATATTTGATCACTTTATTTTAGGTCGTTTTTGATACATTTGCATTACTGAAGACTAACCTCATCAATCTGTGTGTGTTTTTCATTCTGACAAGCAACAATTAAAATCGTACTAAAATTGCTGACATATTTGGTTTTTTGGGCGTTCTAAATATGTCTTATGCTAGACATAAGAGTTTAGACGCTATTTTGTTTCCTGATGCGATTTTTACCAAATAAAAGGTTAAAAAAATTAGAGCACGTTTAGACTACTAAATATACTTGATTTCATATGTCATTCCATACCGTATAAATCGCATTTTTAGTGTCACGTAAATCTTATTCAAAAATCCAGTGGATATTTTTTGACGTATACGAATTTATGGAATTTACATTCGAAATCGAATGGATTTCGTAAATATAAAAGTATTTGCGATGGAAGAAATAATTGGTTCGGTTTTGGTATCCCTTAAGCTGGGAATACATAAAGCGCATATTTGGCTGGCTTAAGTCATCGGCTGGCTTCTTCGTAGAGGAACAAAGGAGTTTTAGGTTGACTTATTTCGATTTTGACCCTAGGCTCCTTTGTTCATTTCCGAAGAAGCCAGCCGATGACTTAAGCCAGCCAAATGAGCGCTTTATGTATTCCCAGCTTTACTTTAGAAAAACTAAAGGATAAAGCATGGCCTAATTATAAGGTCGACCAGAAGGCGATTTCCAAAAAAATGCAACTCTGCAACCTACGTTTATTGTCAAAATTTTTTATTGAGGCGAATAACTCAACAATTCGCCTGGACATAACAGCGATTTACTGTTTTGACAATAAATAATTTTTATTTTTTGCAAAATATAAACAAAAAAACAAGCTACGTTAAAGGCCTCTTACGGATTGATTCGACATATTGGTCAAATACTATTTATCTATTTATCCCTTAACGTCTTCACATATCTAACCATAAAAGTTATATAATTAGACGGTGTTTGGATAGGAATTGAATGATGTCGTTTTTAAAACATTAAAATGGAATAAAAGGCTGATGGAAAGTCTTGCGCATTGCCTCATATCATCTAGCATTAATCCATATATCTCTTTTGGACATTATTGCCCTTATGTTGCAACGGTTTCGGTTTTTGAATCGAATTATTCTCAAAACTGACAAGTGGAAGATCAGTTTAATGCGGGATCCTGCATCCAATAGATCGTTACCGCCACGGCTTACAAATTCATCGAAAGGGTAAAGCCATGGACATAACCCTCATTCTACGCCTTGATTTCTCCACATTTGAATCATTGAAGTGGTGGTGGCTACTTTCGATGTGGCTGGGAATTTGATGTTTCAATCACAATTCCTTAATTTCATATTAAATTTTAAAAATGTATATTTTTGAAATATCTGACGAATACTTTTTTGACATGTTTGCAATTGCAAATTTAATTATGCAACAGTTGGTTTTATTTATTTTGTATGGTTTTAACAAAATCCTTATATTGAGGAATAACCGCGAAACAATATTGGAATATCGGGGTCATTCCACAAGATTGAATCTACAATAGTAGGACAATACAGTTTTGTCCCAAAATTTTACAATTTGTTGCTCATTAACGTCGAAAATATGCATTTATTTTGCAACCAAATTTGAAATTATTTCAAATTTTTTTATTTTTATTTAAAACAATACACATACATACACAAAATGTTTATATGTTTTGACAGAATAAGGGCACCAAAAGAAAAAAATTGTATTTAGGGGGTAGCTTTGTTCTACCTTCTGTAATTATGCCATGGGTAGACGCATCGACACAGCTGCCGGGACAATGAACTGTCAAACCAATTTTGGAATTGAAAATGTTGAATGAAAAATTATTTAAATTTGTAAAAATTGTATAAGAAAACATATAAAAATCTACTTATATTTGAAAAGACATTTAAAATTTTTGACATATCAATGTTTCCAAGCGTTGATGCATTTACCTGTATTCTTCTACCATGTATCTTCCCTTTTAAATAAAAACATTTTTTCAGTGATATGTCAACTTCTGTAAATGTAACTGGTAGTTACTACCATGGTACAATAAGGAGGTAGAACAGCTTCATAAAATAAAAGCCCTGAGGCTATGCCCGCTTCTTGTTGGACTCATTAAAAATTATATACAACAAGTTGTTTTTATTTTTAAAATTAGTTAAAAAGCGCGAAAAATGAATGAAATGCATGTATTTTCTTTCAAATATGATTCAAACTGTTCAATCTTTCAATTTCATGGCTAAACTAGTTAATAGCATAATGCGGCAGGCGCAATGTACTTGTCTTCCAATCATTGGTCTTGAAAATATTTTGTTTTTTTTTTTTTTTAAAACATTAATTAATAATTTTTTAGTAGTAAAACTAGCAGATGAGAGAACACTTCGAAATGCCATTCTCATTTAGGTGTGCTCAAAAAATAAGGGAACAGAAAATTAGCAGAATTGGACTGGACCTTACTGAAAAGGACGCCAAAGTTTAAAAAATGAGTATTGAAGACAATATGTTAACATTCATAATCTATAATAATAATTAATAATCTGATTCCTCATTCAGCAAGTCCTCTTAACTCCTGGAATCATCCAAAAGTGAATACATCAGTTGCTCCATATTTTCTTTTTTATTTTTTGCACGACAAATATTAGTTTTTTTAGTTTTTAAGTTTATCTTTTTTCTTTACATTTGTTGTGATGCCCGAACATTGAAATGTATCAATACATTTTTCAACCTTGTTAGCCCTGCCAATTAAATGTCAAATTTACAATATGCACATTTCTGCTCTGCCAAATTCATGTAGCTAAATTTTAGCTAAAACAAGCAGAAATGTGTACCACTCAGCACCATTTTTTTCTCGAGAGAGCTGCAAAATTTGCTAGTTTTTGGAGTACTTTTGAAGTAAATCTTTGATTCAATTCTTCAATATAAAATAAACGATATGCATTTTATGTTATCTGAATTCCGTCACACATACCAAATTTGATTACTGTATTCACGGTAAAATTAAGAAGGTAAAGTAATTTCAAATAAGCAAATTCAAATCAAATCCACCTCTGCATTTTCTGTAATTAACCTTGTCAAATTTCAATGAATAAAAATTAGGTTCCCTTCTTTGATTTCTGTGTATACAATAGATTTATAAATATATGTATATTTTGGCATTATATGTTGTCAAATGAATAATTTTGAAAAAAATTTAAACGTATGATTTCATGATTACCTTTCTTATTCTGCCATGACTGTACGATTAAAAGATATTTGCTTACAATATCTACATTTTTTGGAGGTACCTCCGTTTTTGATGCTATATCTCCAGTTCCCAGTGGAATTTCAAAAATGTATATAGCCTATGTTACTTTCAGGTGATGCTATAATATATAGTATGAGTTGAAAAAACTGCAAAAAGTCAAACGCCATAATTTTTACATTTTTTTTTAATTTTATTGAATGAAAGCAAAAAATGTCGGAAATAGCATCAAATTTTAGAATAATATTTGTTCAAATTGGTCACCTTCTGCACGAATTATGGCCTTCAAACGGTCAATGAAACCGTCACACACTTCCCGAATGTTGCTCTGTGGTATTTTGGCCCATTCCCAGCGAAGCGCTACATTGAGGTGATTTTTAGTGCCAACCTTTGGTATTTTTTAGTGCCAACCTTGATCTGATGCCACGGTCGATTAATACGAGCGGAGAGCGATCATCGGCTGTTATGGCGGCCCACACCTTCACCATGGCCGGCGCTTGAGTTCTGGTGGCCAACCGAAGGCGCACATTTTGAGCTGAACTCTTTGGCAAGTAAACACGATCATTTTGTTTGTTTACAAACTACTGGACAACGAAAGTTTTCTCATCGGAGAAAACCAAATTCGGCAGTTCACCACTGTCGGCCAAGCGCAACAACTCTTTAGCTCTTTTGAGTCTATTTTCTTTCCGTTGCGGTGTAAGTTCTTGCACTTTTTGGAATTTCAATGGCTTTACCCCGAGCTTTTTTCTCAATATTTGCCGAAATGATATATTAGATATGTTCAGATCATGAGCCATTTTCGGCCACTGCGACGCGGGTTTCGATCAAGTCGCTTCTTTACTTTTCGAACCATTTCTGCTGATGTTGCTGTTTTCTTCCGTCCACTTCCCTGACGTCGGGCTACGCTACCAGTATCACGGTAACGATCGATGATACAAGACACAAAAGATTTATTCACATTTAAATGCTGGAGTGCTCTAACGAAAGAAATCACTCTATCACGCTTGAATTCCATCACGAATAACTTTTTTTCTGGATAATTCTCACCAAATTGCTTTTGTACGCATGGAAACAATATAATGACCTGTCACTGGAATAATTTGGCTTAGAAATGACAGCAGTCTGAAGTTGTTTGCAGTTTTTTCATCTCACCCTGTACAATGGATTCATGAATATAGATTTTGACAATGAGATGTTGTCGAATGTATGAATTTGATAAAATTGTAGACAAATGATTACATGACTTTACCTTCTTATTTCCACCACGGTATACCTCTTGGAAGTTAAATAATATTAATTCATAATTTACCCCTTATCATACGCCATACGCTCTACACTTAACCATATGTCTACGTAACGTAATCAACATTAGCTCCTTCACTAATTCGGTGCCGCCTTATTAACATTTAAAACAGCTGTTGGGAATTTGTGCCGTAAACGATTTTTGTACGCGCCTTCCAACAAGAAATTCTGGAAATTTTGTTATATTTTCAAAATAGAATAAAAGAAAAAAAAGTAAGAAAACAAAATGTCTTTGGAATGCCCCTCAAATCCCGTGTACAATACATCTGTTGAACAGAAACTAAAATCTAAAAATGCAGCCAAATTACATCGTTATGGAGCAGCCAAACTTAGGGATATATTAAGAGAGGTTGGTATTTAGCAAAGTTCCTACATGCCTATTTTCAATTCTCCATATATATATTTTTTTTGCAATATAGAAATGTGTAATTCGTGCCAAGGAGGCCCGTCAACAATGCTATAGCCAAGGCCGTCTAGACGAGGATGGTAAAGCAATTTTGAGTAAGGTAAGATTTTGGTTAATAAGCTTATGGTAAAAAATTGGTTTATGGGTTTATCGTTTCCTGTAGATATCCGTAAATGACATTCTGCGTCAGGAACTGGCTGAGCTGGAACACGATATTGACTTACAAAATGAAATTTACAATGAAATATTGGAAGAATTCAACGAATGGTTTGCTCAGGAATTGGAAAATGAGCAAAACTATTTGCTGGAAGTGGCGGAGTCACAAGCATTAGTTTGTCCAGTGTGTCAGATTAATAATTTAGTTGCCTACAAGACAAATGAACAGTTCAACTACAGATGCAAATGTAATGCCAAGTAAGTAAGACGATTTGATATTTTGATTTTTAATTTTGGCTTAACTCTAGTTTAGTAAAAACTCTTCAATTTTTTCGAAAATTTTTTCAGTGGTAGGTATTTTAACCATGATCCCGGGAAACTATTTTTTTCTTGGGGGACGGACCTGGGACCCCAGATTTTTGACCCGAAAGTCCGGGTTCAAGACCCCGACTAGACCCGGATCCACTTACCCGATATAGACAATATGGGTATCGTTGGAAAGCTTATGAAAATACCTATCCAACAAGTGGTCACATGATGGGGTAAGATGTTACGGTTCGGAAGTTATAGTCAAATTATCGATTTTTTGGACCCGGATTTTTTATAAAACCCCCAAAAAGTCAAAAAAGGGTCCATTATGGGGGACAACAAAATTGATGCTGACACTTTTACCTTTCCAAAATGCTACAATTTGTGCTAATACCTTTTTCAGGTCCAGAGATATGGGTCTTTCCATCCGCATAACCCGATTCTAACCAGTTCATTAAAATGATGTTTTTAATAAAAAAAAGTGTTTATTTCGCGTAGCAGTCGTCGGAATAACAAAAGTTTTCTAAATTTGGCTCTTTTTGTAAAGCAATCGATACCCATGTTGTCTATATCGGGTAAGTGGATCCGGGTCCAGGTGGGGTCTTGATCCCGGACTTTCGGGTCAAAAATCTGGGGTCCCGGGTCCGTCCCCCAAGAAAAAAATAGTTTCCCGGGATCAGGATAAAAATACCTACCTCTGGAAAAAATTTCTAAAAAATATAAGAGTTTTTACTAAACTAGAGTTGTTCCTTAATTTTTTGTAAAAATAATTATGGTTGAATTCCGTCAAAATCTAAGCAGATACTTTGGGCAAAGATCAGATAAAACGATGAAGCTACTTTATATAGTTCAGCGTTACAGCTGCACGACAGACCTTAAATCCGATCCATTTAAAAAATGAATAAAAGGTAGTCCAAGAGCTAACTTCTAGTCCAGTAACACCATATGACGACAGAATTTCCTGCAAAGTGCACAATTGTGGATGAAAAGCGCCTTTTATATCCGAACTTTCGGATCGAAGTTCCACCACGGAAAAATTACTTTGTTGTAATCGGGTTAAAAATACCTTAAAGTTAAAAAAAGGGTAAAAATTATCCGAGCATAGCCCCTGATCTCAATTTGTTTCAAAAATATTTATAATTTAACAAAAATATTCGTGAAATGTTTGATACATGTGAAATGTTTGATACATATTTTAGTATTTTCTTCTTTTCTGAAGGATTCCACGCGGAACACCTTTACAGCAAGATAAGACTTAGGCCTGAATTCACCTCTTTTATGATCTTATTAAATAAGACTTGATCTAGTCTATTAGTTTCAAAAGAAAAAAAAAACACTCATACTAAATACTGAGTATCATAAATGTCTTAAAATTCAAAGTTTTTTTTTAGTGAATCTAACTGTAGATTTCACCAATTTTAAACAAAATTCCATTTCACTTCAATTTAATTAATTTTTGGCGTTGTAAAATTAATGTTAGAAAAATCCGTGACAAAGAAAATACAAATCATAATGCCTAATACAACTTTTTATGTTTTTTTTATTTTATTTTTTAGCTTTTATTTTCAATTGGATTTGCCGTCATTGCAATCTGAGTTATTGGCCCGCGTCGATGCCCACGAAACTGCCTGTTTAAACAAATTGAATTTCTTTGTTAATCCAACGAACAACAAATTAGAAGCGCTGTGCGATAATTGCGATTATTTTTGTAGTTTGTAAGTTTCGATTTGTTGTTATCATAAGATAATTTTATTATTTGTACTAAGAATATGAAATGTAAATTAATTAATATTGTAATGAATTTTGTAAAATTGAAGTAAATATGAAATGAACTCAAATACAAGTATGGAGTTCTCTACTTCGTTTGATCCAGGTAATTAGGATGATCATACGGTAAGTGCAAGAATTGTGCCACTTTCCATATGTTAAAATAATAAAATAATAAGTTTTTAATCAACACCTAGGTATGAAATCAACCTGAAATTGTTGAAGGTTTTGTATGCGATGACTTCTATTTATAGCCATTCCGTTCTAAACCATAGCGCTCTGGATTTCCATACTTCGCAACATACAATGCAGAAGATTTGCAAATAAAAAGAATAATTGATTTCGGTTATTGAAAATATTACATTCAAAATCTGTGGAGTGAATACTAAAATATCCAATTGGATTATAAATGATCTTATTAAACGCTACTAAAATCGGTAGTGCGATTCTGCAACTATTTACAGGGTGAGATGAAAAAAACTGCAACAAAGTCCAACACCATAATTTTTACATTTTTTTAAACTTTATCCAATGAAAGCAAAAATGCCGGAAATTGCATCAAATTTTAGAATAATTTTAGATTTGTTCGAATCGGTCATCTTTGGCACTGATTATGTCCTTTAATCGGGCAATGAAACCGTCAGACGCCGCCCGAATGTTGCTCTGGTCCATTCCCGGCGAAGCGCTTGCTTGAGGTGATCGACACTTTGGCATCTTTTAGTGCCAACCTTGCTTTCCAAAATACTCCTGACACAATAGTCCATCGGATTGGTATCGAAAGATTTTGGTGGCCATTGTGCGCTGGAAATGAAGCGAGGAACCTCATTTTGTAACCATTCTTGGGTGGCGCGTGCTGAGTGCGATGGTGCTGAGTCCTGTTGGAATGTTTTAGGTCTGCGGCCAAAATGTTTGCTTGCCCAAGGCTTTAATACACCCTCCAGAATATTTTCGCGGTAATATTCGGCATTTATTCTGATGCCACGGTCGATTAATACCAGCGGAGAGTGACCATAGGCTGTTATGGCGACCCACACCATCACCATGGCCGGCGCTTGAGTTCTGGTGGCCAACCGAAGGTGCACATTTTTAGCTGACCTCCCTGGCGGATAAACACGATCATTTTTTCTGTTTACAAACTGCTGAACAACGAATATTTTCTCATCGGAGAAAACCAAATACGACAGTTCACCACTATCGGCTAAGCGAAGCAACTCTTGAGCTCTTTTGAGTCTATTTTCTTTCTGTTGCGGTGTAAGTTTTTGCACTTTTTGGAATTTCAATGGCTTTACTCCGAACTCATTTTCAATATTTGCCGAATAGAATATTTCGATATGTTCAGCTCACGAGCCATTTTTCGGCCACTGCGACGCGGTTTCGATGAAGTCGCTTCTTTACTTTTCGAACTATTTCTGCTGATGTTGCTGTTTTCTTCCGTCCACTTCCTTGACGTGAGGCTACCCTACCAGTATCACGCTATCTAGGTCCTCGTTTTGGTATAGCCCCCATAAAACTGTATCGACAGATTTAAGTTTTCTGGGTGTTTAAGTTACAATTCTAACCGGAATATGCTTTAAATTATCAGCATGTGATCCCAATATGTAAGAAAAATCTTTGCATAGAAATGTCAATATAGGTCCAAATTTTGGTATAGTCGCCAATTAATTTTCAAAAATTGTGTCAGACTTTTCACCGGAAATGTTTCAAATTGAGAATTTGAAGTTCGTAATGAGTACTATATCCTATGAGAGATCATTGCTTATACAGGACTACGTCTTCGTATAGCCCCATATAAAAGTACACCCCTATATTTGGTATTTTGATGATTTTAGCGACATTATTCACCGGAATTATTCATTTCGTATTTGAAGTTCCAAATAGGTATAACTGTCTGTGACGGAAAATTGCCTATGCAGATCCACTTATTCTTATAGCTCCCAAATAACGGCTCCCAAATAGCTCCCACACTCGAAATTTTTATGTTTGTTTCAAGATTCATATTTGAATTTCGTAATGACCTATGACAAAAGTTACATATTCTGGTCCAAATCTTCGTATAGGCCCCAATATAACGGTAGCTCCCTGTATTCGGGGTTTTTATGAATTAAGCAGTATTTTTCAACGGATTTTTATACCCAAAGTCATATGGCTACAGAGGGTATATATCATTTGATACGGACGAAAGTGCCTCATTTGGTCTCTTTGGACCAAATCCGTTTCAGGACATTTGGAGTCGATCTAGCGATGTCCATCCGTTTATCTGTCTGTTTGGCTGGCGTGTTAACTATCGAAGGGAGAATCCGATTTGGTTCAAACTTTGTACATCGTAATATTATAGTCAAACTTAGATTGAGTTCGGAGGGGGACAAAATCGGTCTCTCCTTCTGGTACCTCCCCCACAAAAGTGCAAAATTTTCAAAGAAAATAAGTTACTGCAAAGAAAGAAGGAGGATAATCCGATTTTGCTCCAATTTTACACATCCTAATATTTGCATTAGTGCTAGGTTAGGTGCGAAAATGGACAATATCGGTGCACTCCATCAAGTACCTCCCCCACAAATGGACAACATTTTAAATAATTCTAACTCTTATAAAATGTGATGTAACAATCTTTTCTTAAAATTTCACTCATTCAAATACTTTTATAAACACAAGATCTCGTGTTAAGATGGAATATATCGGCCCACTTCTTCTGGTACCTCCCCCACAAAAATTGTTTAATATATTTCTGAATATTTCTATCAACACAGGATCTATTATAAAAACGATAGAAATCGGACCATTTCTTTTGAAACCTTCCCTACAAATTGTCAAAGTTTTGAATAACCAAAACATTTATAAAATCTGATATAACCATCAGCTTCTCTTTATATTTCACACATTCCATTTTTTCTACTAACACATGATCTGTTGTGAAGATGGGGTATATCCGTCCACTCCTACTGGTACCTCCCCCACAAAGGGTCAAAATTTTTAATATCCATGGAGCTCATAAAACACGAGATTAACATACCATTCCATTTAGACTTGGAACATCTCAATATTTCCGTCAACACAAGATCTGTTATAAAGATGGTAGAGATCGGTCCATTTATTCTGGTACCTCCCTCTTTAGTGTTCAAGATTTTGAGAAACCAAACGCTCGAAGTAAGCCAAATAAGCATTCAACTCGCTTCAAATTTCACACATTCAAATATTTTTGATAACACAAGATCTGTTGTGAAGATGGTATATGTCTGCCAACCCCTTAGGGTACCTTAACCACAAAGCATCATAATTTCCAATGATTATATCCGCCATAATTTGCGAAACAAGTCGGCGATTCTTTACAACATGCTAACCAGAAATGTGGTACGAATATGTAATTTATCGGAATTTATGACGCATAAAAGTGGATATAAAAGTTCGATTTCTTTCAAATTTTGCACATACCAATATTTGTATCTGTATAAGATGAAGTATGGAAATGGAATGCTTCGGTCCACTATATCTGGTACCTCACGCATATTTCCACATTTCCCAAAAATTTTCACATATCGCATATAAAGTATAGGTAGTAGTCGAAGTATTCGAAATCTGCACGTTGTTATATTTATATCAGTCTTAGGTCAAATACGAATTGGTCCAAAATTGTCCAACTACTTCAGAACCTCCTCCATAGTTTGAATAATGATAACTCAAGGCTGGGGGTATACATCTGTGGGAATAACCGACTGATACAATTTTACTTGTTATACCCTCCATCATAGTATGGAGGGGTTATTAAGTTTGTCATTCTGTTTGTAACACTTCGAAATATACATTTTAGACCCCACAAAGTATATATATTCTTGATCAGCATAAAATTCTATGTCGATTTAGCGATGTCCGTCCGTCTGTGGAAATCACTCTAGCTTCCGAACGAATTAAGTAGATTGATAAAATTTTAATTTTAAGTTCAAAATGGATTCTACAGCCTAAGACAGAAAATTGTCTATGCAGGTCCACGTCTTCGTACAGCCCCCATATAACGGTACCTCCCGATATTCGGTATTTTGATGATTTTTGCGATATTATTCACCGGAATTCTTTCAAATTTGGTATTTGAAGTTCGTAATGGATACTAAAGCCTATGACAGAGAATTGTCTGTGCAGGTTCACGTGCATTCGTATATAGCGATACCTCCCGACATTCGGTATTTTGATGATTTTAGCGAATTTATTTACCGGATTTGTTTCAAATTTGGTATTTGAAGTTCGTAATGGATACTACAGTCTATGACTGAAATTTGTCTGTGCAGGTCCACGTTTTGTTTTTTTTTTGATTTTAGCTACACTATTGACCGATTTTCTTTTCAAGTTTCGCATTTGAATACTGTATAGGCTTACGACAAAAGTTGCCTATGCAGGTCCACGTCGTCGTATGCATACTGCTACATTCGGTATTTTTAAGATTTTAAAAAAAAATTTTGAAAATTGCAAAATTCGTTCCAAATGGTGCAGGGTATTCAAAGTTCGGCCCGACCCGGAAATTACAGTTTTTTGCTTCTTTTCATACCCTACACCACAAGGTGTTCAGGGTATTATGTCTTTGTGCATTTTGTTTGTAACAGGCAAAAGGAAACGAGATAGGCCCATAGTTCCTTTTGATGATCTCCATAGAATCACATGAGTCGATTTATGCATGTCCGTCCGTCTGTCCATGTATTTTTGTAAACAAAGTACAGTTCGCATTTTTTGCCCTATCCAGATGAAATTTTGCACAAATCATGTGTTTGGCCCAAGGACGATCCCTATTGAAATTGGAGATAATAATTTAGATATAGCTCCCATATATATCTTCTTCCGATTTGCCTTTTATTGTGCACCAAACGTGTAATATCAGTCCGAATTGTATGAAATTTTGCACGTACGATCAGATTGGACCTCAAAATAAGTATGTCAAATTTGATCGAAATCATTTCAGATATAGTTATAGCTCCCATATATATTGTTCATCCGATTTGTTATTTTTGGTACTACGCAGCCGTAATATGCACTCTGAAACAACAATATTTGGGGAAATCTATCAAATACAGCTCAGAAATATCTTTGCCAAATTTTATCGAGATCGG